TGTTCTGGGAGAGCAAGCACTGCAACTAGTTACTCTATCACATTTTTACTTTCCATGCTCATGATGCATTTAAAATTTGAGGTTGCTGATGATTTACCCCTACAATTTTCAAGGAAATGCTGACTACAATTATTTTGCAGGTCCGATTATTCACATTGATGGATTGGCCTATCTTGGACGCTATATGTGACAAACTAAGACAAAACTTGTATATTAGCGGAAGTGACATCCTTTATCAAGGTGGTCCAGTTGAAAAAATGGTCTTCATAGTGAGGGGAAAGCTAGAAAGCATCAGTGCAGATGGAAGCAAAGCTCCGTTACATGAAGGTGATGTATGTGGAGAGGAGCTCCTGACATGGTACTTGGAACACTCTTCAGCTAACAGAGGTCTGCAGTTTTTGCATTTTGTGTTTTTATTGTTTTCTCTTTTCTGTGATTTATATTTGGTAAGTCTCCATATTTCTATTGTTTCAGATGGTGGGAGAATGAGATTCCATGGTATGCGTTTGGTTGCTATTCGTACTGTAAGATGTTTAACAAATGTTGAAGCTTTTGTACTAAGGGCAAGCGATCTCGAAGAAGTAACTTCACAATTTTCACGATTCTTGCGCAATCCACGAGTGCAGGGTGCAATCAGGTGGAGACTTTTTTCTTTAGTGTCACATGATCATATATGCTCACCAGAATAATTCTCTGATTCAACTAGAATTGTGTAGGCTTATGAATGGTTTATCTGTTGATTTAAATTAATTTTACCATAAGTTAGTTGGGAAAAAACTAAGGGAGTTCATCATGCATCACAGTAATTGTTATTAGCTGGGATATTTGGGATAATTAGAAACTACTACGGTACTCTGCTCCATGCAGGTCATGCATTCAGTTGTGTCAGTTGCCGAATATCTATCTTCTATGATATGTATGACAATGTTCACTAATGCTGGTGCGCTACTGTTGCAACTGCATCCAACAGGTATGAGTCACCCTACTGGAGAACCATTGCTGCAACGCGTATTCAAGTCGCATGGAGGTATCGGAATAGGCGATTGAAGCGAGCTGGGATGTCGAAGTTGAACGATCAATCTTATAATTCTGCATTGGAACGTGGCGCGCGTGAATGTGATGCTCGTCAGCATGGGCGGGTATGATTTGGATCGACAAGGTGCTAACGTTTGGTCACATTTTTATGCGCTAGAGCCCTGACATCCTTGTGGCTATCTTACTTGGCAGAATGTATTCTATGTGAGCTACATAATTTTTTTTTTGCCCCACAATTAGATCTGGTAGCTAGAGTACCAAACTGGAGGAACTACATCTCATGTATATAATGACGGCTAGTTTTTCACTAATAACTGTTTCATTCTTGGCCTGAAATCTTGCCTGCGTATCTGCTAAGCAATTGTGTTAGTTTGTTGGTTGCCTGCAACTGGATCAGGGCTCGGCAAGCTGTTGCGTTAAAGACGCTTGTCTCATGGATAAGCTCTCGTCGCGGCGGGGTGGGAGGCCGTCGGTTCGCCGTTCCCGTCGTCGGTGGAGCAGATTAACGGTACGATATGCCCTGCTGCACACTGATCGTAGGGTCATTTTTAGTTTTGCTTCCCTACCAAAATTGTGCATTTGCTTTTCTCTTTCTTTTTTTTTCACGCGTACGTTTGGCTTTTGAAACGACCTCAAACCGCTGTGTTCTGGGGTAAGGATTAGGAACCAATTAGTGCACGATTAATTAAGTATTAACTTAAAAAAACTTTAAAAATAAGTTAGTATGATTTTTTAAAACATTTCTTCTATAGAATGTTTATATAAAAAATATATACCGTTTTAGCAGTTTGGGGAAGCTTGCCCGCGAAAAAGAAGAGCCGAAGACAGCCTAAACTCATCCGAGCACAACTCTCTCAATAAAAAAAGGAAAAAGAAACAGTAAAAAGTGTGCAAGCAAACGGGCCGGGGACGGATGCTGCGGTTGGGCCTGCCTGGGAGCCCGAAGTTTCTTCTTCAACGACACCAGACGCCGGGGGTCCCGCTCACACTGTCGCTTGGCTCGCCGCATCTCTTCCCTCCTCGCAATCACAAGCCGAGCGGGCGGGCGCGCGGCGGAGAAAAAAAGCCGCTGGCGCTGCAGCTACTCACGCGCAGCCAACAACTCCACCTTGCCGTGCATTGTACTCGTCCCAAGCAAACAGCCCGTGCTGCTCTATCAGCGCCTCCAAATTTCTGGTTCAGGATCGAGAGATCGCCCCGCCGAGCCTGGCGAACTTGAGGTACCCCTGGTGTCGCGGTGACCACACGCCGAACCGGTTGTAAACCATGATTCTGCACGCGTACATGGTGTCCCGTGTACATGTCCCGCTTCATCTCCAACACCCTTCTCCCTTTACGCAACGTGCCGCACGGGCGCGGGCACTGCCCAACGGGAGCTGAAGGGGCGGATCCAAAGTAGAAGGGCTGGTATCAGGTGACACCGATGACTTTCGACAAAACATATAGCGAAATTGTTTATCCATATGTTATAACACTATAATCTAAGCATAATTAGCATCCTATGATACCGATAGACACGTTATGACACCAACGAAACGATTCTCTGAATCCACCACCGGAGCTTCCAGTAACTGTGTCGCCTCCATATATATGCTCACATTAAGGTGGTGTTTGAATCTACTTAAGATGAAGATGAACATAAATATTAATTGTTTCACGCAAAACGATGTGGTAATAACATATGATTAATTGAATTTTAATTATTACAAACTTAAAAAATGGATTAATTTCATGTTTTAGAACAACTTTCGTATAGAAAGTTTTCGCACGAAACGAACCGTTTAGCAGTTTAAAAAGTATATCACTTTTATCAAAAAGTTTATCTAGTTTTTATTGGAAAAAAGAACAGGGCCTTACAGTTAAGCTTGGTGTGGCTCTCGTGTATGTATATTTCCTCCATCCAAAATATAAGATACTTTGATTAATGTGATATATCATAGTACGTATTATATGTTGGAACGAATGGAGTATACGGGAACTAGGATAAAGTTTGTATTGGATCGGAGGTAGGAACGTTTTGGAAACGCGGATAAAGTTTGTATTGGATCGGAGGTAGGAACGTTTTGGAAACGCTAACGTATTCGTATTCAACTATTCAAGGTATAGTCATGAATTGATGCATGCGCGGCAAACCCTTCATGTATAGTACTAGCTAAATACCCATACATTGCAAGGAGGTTGAATATATTCTTTTGTTCTTTTTCATAGCTTGGGAATGAATATTCTGCGTGCTTCACTGTTTATTAGTGGCATCGACATGTCAGCTGATAGTGGAAGTAAGTGATGACAGATTCATCAATTTCTAGTCCCCACATGTCAGTTGTGCGTGGTGACGAATTCACCCCTCACCACTACGACTAGAGTTTTAGGAGTATAATATGCAACTGGTCGTATTCAGACGGTTGTATATACACAATGCCATGCCATTAAGCAACGGGTCGCGCATGGTACATCTCTAACTAGCTCCCTCGCATACGGATTTTTCACTAGCTGCATATTTTCCCTTCTATTAATCTCGTAGCGACAGAGACTAGACTGGATGAACTAAATCAGATACTACCTTCTTTTCAAAATGTATGATACATTGACTTTGCATACAACGTTTAACCATTTGTCTCATTAAAAAATTTAATATAAGTATGTAAAAGTATAAGTTAAGATTATGTTTTATTTGATGATAAAATAAGTTACAACAAAATAAATAATATTTATATATATTTTTAATCAGATGAATGGTCAAACGTTATGTGAAAAATCAATAATATCATATATTTTGAAATAAAGGAGTACTGTATTTTCATGAACCACTGTTTCATTCTTGGCTTGAAGCATTGCCTGCATCCCTGCTCGCCTACATGCTGGTAGCTGTGCAAACTGGTGACCCTGCACCTCAGCACCTGGATCAGGTTAGAGATGCTTGTCCGTTGCTACACAAGTTACTCAGCTTGTGAGATAACAGTGTATACCCTATTGCACGCTAGCACTAGTGCATTTTTTTTCTCAGCATTGCAGCTCTCAATTAACAACAAGGGTCATGATTCATGGACACCCGAAAAGCAACCAAAAACCCTACTAATTTTCACAAAAAGAACATCACTATCGAGTCACAACTCACAACAGCTCATCAACTGATGATACCACTAAACAGTTAGGCTGAGCAATCACAGATTCACAGTTTGCTGGATTGGAATACGTATGTAGTAACAATCTTTCTACTTGTCGCGGTGATCGTAGACATGGCCGTCGCCGGCGGCGGCGGCGCGGAGCACGACGTGGCGAATGTTGTGTGCACGAACTCCTCCCAGCCGAGCCACGATCGATCCCTCCACCGCCGGATCGAAGCTCGCCGAGAACACGCCGTACGGGACGCCGAGGAGGAGGCCGAAGAGCAGGAACGCCACCCAGAGCGGAGGCTGCAGGTCGAGTCCGGTCACCGCGGCCGCCGCGCGCAGCGCCGCCTCGCCGGCACCCGCGCCGCGCCGTCCACCGCCACAGCACCTCCTCCTCCGACTCGAGGAACGCGAGCTCCCCGTCGCGCTCCCGCCGCCCGACCCACGCCTCGTCGCTGATCGACGCGTCCGCCACCAGCAGCGTCCCGACCAGGAACGACGCGTGTCCGCGTCGATGAGTGCCCGCAGGAACTCGCCCTCCTCGCCGCCGAACACGGTCGCCTCATCGGCGACGCCGGCGTCGACGAGGTTCTTGAATGATTAGGCGGGGGCTCACCGCTCACAAGTGCAGCACGCCACGGGTCACCAGACGTGCACGATCTTAATTAGGAGTACCATGTAAGTATGTTTGTCATGTTCTTCGGTCCAGTTGATTAACACTTAGAGTCGTGTGGTGATGTTAAGATAGTATCCGAAATGACCTATGGGAAAGAGGAATTTTACGAACATTTTAGAAACGAACTAACTCGTGTGAAGATTTTTGTAACGTTTCAGCGTTCCAAAGGAGCCCTCAGCTGCGAGTTGAATGTTCTTTTAGCATAAAACGGTCATGTACAACTACAATCTCTATTAATCTGAATATATATATCTGACTACAAGTCTTAAACCACTTTACTGAGTATTTCATGGTTTAATCGAACAAAGTGCTGTGAAATCGAGTTAATTAGTCAGTGTCTTCATCTTCTACTTCTTCCTCATCTTCGTCTTCCTCCTCCTCGTCCTCGTCGTCGTCCACTTCGTCGTCTATGGAGGAATGCTTGGCCATGGACAGTTCGCTCCAGTGGCTAGCGGCGAGCTCCCACCCCACCAGCGAGCCCCTCTCCGCGGCGTTCCACCTCGACGACAGGAACCCGTAGTGGAAACCGAGCAGCCCCACGGCGAACAGCACGGCGGAGCCCGCGGAGCCGGCCCAGGCCGGCGCCGCGTCGCTCGCCGCGCCGTCAAGCACCCTCAGGAACGCGGCCTCCGCCGCGACCGCCGCCGCGGGTGGCGCCAGCATCCGCCACATCATCCCGCGCCTCATGTCCTCCGACAGGTTGAGCCCGAGCCCGAGCCCGCCCGCCGCGCGCCATTCTTGGCGGTTCTTGGCGACGTCCCCCCTCGCCGCCGCCGCAGCGGTGGTGTCGATGACCTCGACGTTGCTGGAGCTTGCCACCGCCGCCGGCCGGGCGGTGAACACGCCGGCGACGCGTCGCCGGCTCGGTTGGTGAAGCGGGCGTGTGGCGGCGCCTCGAGAAGGGAGGAGCAGCAACTCCATGGCCGCGGCAGGTGAGGTCCGGTGGTGCGAGTGAGTGAGTGAGACCGTACGTACGTTTGTGAAGACGAGAAATGCGTTATCCTATCCTAAAAGGACCTTTCTGGGATAGCAATGTGGAGATATTTTTTTGCTTAGCTTTGCAGTGACCTAACCATGTGTCAGTTGGCTTGGTCACTGGGTGAGCTTCACAGTCAGGCCTTCTTTGACTTTGAAACAAAGTATTGTGCCTATAAGAAAATTTCCTGTTTGGCTCTTTAAAACAGATATTTGAAGCTTTTGAAATCCTATAAAAGTCATTTGGAATGGTTCATGTAGACTTCTAGAGAAATTTTCTTTCAGTCTTTCTCTCTCATCTAACTCTATTTTTATTTGCATCGTCTGTCCATCTATTTAAAAGACCGTTTCTATGTTTCTTATGTGTTTTTAGTATTTTATTGTGTATTATTCCTACTAAAATCCCTTATTTTACCATTTCTATGTTCCATAGGGGTCTCAATTTTATTTCATCAAGTTGAATTGTCATTTGAACAAGTAGTACACACAATGGCAAGCTCAAAAAAAAATTAAATGAATGATTTACTGGATGTTGCCTCACAATCATAACAATCTAATGATGCTTTCCTGAAAATTTTGGAGTCAAGACAAATCTATCTCTACTACGTTTGCTATAAAATGTTACACTTTCAATCTCTAAATTAATGCTATATTTTTACTGTTCACTCCCAGACGAGCCCAGTCGACCCACCAGTGCCTGACCATATTGTCCTATCTAGGGATTGACCCTTGAAATCAACGGCACAGATAATTCCCCTGCAAAATCGAACGGATCAGAGTGCATTTCCTTCCATTAAGACATAATCACCGATTAATCACATGCATGAAGCTAAGATAATAAGGTAGGTTCCCCACACTCCAAGTCCATTCTGACACGGTTTTTTTGTCCCAAGCAACGATCTCATGCACTCTCTCTGGCTAGTTGTTCCATTGCTGCCTCCAGCTAGAAGCCATGCAAGAAGAGGCAACTGGGCGATCGAGCTCTACTACAGTGGCTAGCTAGCTTCCCCTCCACATGCAGCTTTGAGATCTGCTAGCTCATCCGGATCTCCTCTACGTGCTACCATCCAAAAGCATCTAACAGACACATCATTTTTTTGCCCTGGCCAATTTTTTAAATTTTCTTTTTTCTTCTTCTTGATCTCCTGTGTTCGTTTTGTGCCTCTCGTGATCATGCACAAGCTGCCCTACACTGTGTCTGTGTGTGTGAGCGTTAATGTGAAGACGGTTTGTACGAATCCTATGCTATGGCGAGCGTGCTTTGATGAGCCTAGAAACATTGGTAGACTAGAGCATGTTGTTAGTTACTCCCTCCCTCCCAAAATAAATGCAGCCATGGTTTTTCGTGCCCAACTTTGACCGCTCGTCTTATTTGAAAATTTTTTGAAAAAAAAATAAGTCACGAGTAAAGTACCATTCATGTTGTATCATCTCATAACAATAAAAATACTAATTATAAAAAAATTTCAAATAAGACGGACAATCAAAGTTGGACGCAGAAACTTATGGCTGCACTTGTTTCGGGACGGAGGCAGTAGTAGAAGAGGTTATGATCAATGTACTGTGAGTACTTAAGTGGCTAAGTACTGCCTTGACACTGACATCCTTCCCCTGTCTGTCCCGGACAGGCAGCCTTGCGTCGCGTCAGGCTTTATCCGGAATGTTGCTTCCGCTTTCCAGGTGATAATTTTGACGCAAGTAATTGCTCGATCGATCCGTGTGGCTGTAGTACGTCCATGGATGTCGGATCGGAGACGATTGCACGACGCAAACTAAATGCATTCTGACTTCACGAATTTTTTTTGTGGCTTTTTTGCGTGTGGGTGATCGATGAGGAACAGTGAGATCAATGCGGTTGCATTGCACCCGGCGAGAGTGCACAACGGTTTTGCATGGTTTTGGATCCTGGGAATGCAAGGGGATCAATGGAATCTATCACGGGAAATTCTGGTCAAGAGCAGATCATCTGCAGTGTGATCTTCCAGTTCTTCCACGAAGACGCCATGGAATTTGCAATTCACAGAAAACGGAACATGGAATTCACATTCATGATTCACCACCACCACCACCTGATATGCACCACCATCACCATAGAACAAAAGAATCTTGCAGTTGAACCGATCGATCGATCTCGCGTCGTCTAGCATGGCCGCACGACCGGCGGCTCAGCCACCGCCGCCGCCGCCTTGGGCGCCGCGGCGACAGCGGCGGCGGCGGTGTTCTTCCTCGGCTCGGTGCGGCCGAGCTGGCCGGCGCCGCCGCGGCCGCCGGTGACGCTCCGCATCCGGCCCTTGCCGAGGTGGTGCTCGCAGAGGGAGTAGCCGACCAGCGTCGGCTGGCTGCAGCGCCACCCGCGCCCGTTCACGCGGCTGCAACGTGACCCCTCCATCAGCACCGCCGGGCCACGCCGCTTCTTGGCTCCGCCGCCGCCGCCGCCGTCGTTCTTGGTCTCTTCCTTCGCGTTCGCGGCCACTGGCATTGCCCGGACGACGCCGTTGACGAGACGCTCTCCTGTAGTACTCCTGATCGCCGGATCAGGCTTGCTGTAATGGCCATTCTCTAGGCTGCAAAATGCAAGAACATCATCGAGTCATCTGTCAACCATCTGACGAACAAGCAGCTACAGCAATGAATCCAACCCAATGCAATCAGAGATGCAGCAACTTATGATGCCAAACACAAGGGAATAGTTCACGACGCTCGCGACGCACATGGTCCATGTCTGCCGATCGATCAGCATGGCTTGCACGGTTGCACCAATGCGATCATGGAAGAGGACAAGCAAAAAACAGGCTGTAAGAGAGGCGATCACACAATCAGCCATAGAACAGCCATGGAAGTGGCCGATCGAAGATGCCAAGATCGAGGGTGCAAGAGCAGTAGTGCGCTGGATGGATTAGCAGTAAAGAAGCCAAGAACACTAGTAGCAGTAGTACATGCCTACATGAGCAGGGCCGTGTATTAAATTGGTTGGATTGATGTGTGTCATGTGTCAAGCTGGCATTGCCCAGTATAAAACAGTAAAAACCAAGCCCAGAAGATAGAAAAAGTCCCTTGGATGCTTTCCCTTTCCATTTATTACTACCCCCCACTACCGCTACCACCACTACTACTGTCACTCACACCCACACAAATGACACAAATGACACAAGTTAGCATAGCAGAGGCACTTTCTTGTTTTGTTCCTGTTCCAGTTTCAGTTGTTCTTCACATACCTCCTGTGACCATCTGCTGCTCCCTGCTGTGCACCACCACGGGGCCTGATCTTGCTGCATTCCACAACCGCATTGTCCTGGCAAAATGGCATCAATCCAAGAACATGGGGGGGGGGGGGGGTTAGTTAGATAGATCTGGGCATCCGCCATAAACGGGTGTGGTGCAACCTATGATGATAGTAACTAGTAACAAGAATCATTCATAATGGCAAGTTTCTTGTTTTCTCTGTCGTTGGAGCAGATTGGGATCAAAGGGGGTAGTGTATACCTGCGGGAACAACGGCAATGCCGCGGCCGCGCGCATCGCCGCCGACGAGTCGTCGTCGGCAAGATCCGCATTTGGGTGCAAGTGCAACCGCTCCGACTTCTTCTCCTCCTCATCCACCTTGTCTACCGAGAGCCAGTAACGTCCATGGTTTCTTGGTGGAGGCTGGGGAGCAGTGGATGGATCTGAGGAGGGATGCAGGGAGGAGAGAGCCTGCAGGGACTGAGGCCGCCTCCTGATCCTCATGGATGGATGAGAGAGAAAGAGAGAGAGAAGGGGAGAAGGAGGAGAGAGAGAGAGAGAGAGAGAGAGAGGGAGCAATGGAGATTTGGGGAGGGTGCAAATTAAAGGAGGGGGGCTTTGGGGTGTTGGTTCCTTGGTTTTGGTTGGCCTTTTATGCCTCATGGATGGCATTTATTTATGGGAACCAGTAAGCACAATAGGAGTAGATTGGTGGTGCAGTTTTTACACTTTGCATATTTGCGCATTGTTGCCTTGATTGGCTTTTGGCCTTTTGGGTTTGGGTTGGTTTGGCTTTGGCCTAGTAGGAGATGAGATGAGATGGGTGCACTTATCAAGACTCCAGAGGTGGATGGATGGATGGATGGATGGCGTGAGTGGTGGGATGGGTTTGTTTTTGCATGCAATACGCCATGTGCATTAGAACTGTTGTATAGGAGATGGGATGGAGAGGCAGGTGAGATTTGTCTAGTGGACAGTATTGCTATGCGTACAAATGAACAATACATGTGGGGGAAAAAAGAAGGTAGGTGTACATTTCTAGATCTATGGTTTGTGGTTTTCAGTTGGCATGTCTTCGTTTGAGGTTCCAAATGGGGGAGGTAAAGACTGAAAGAAGACTTGTGTGTGAATTGGTGTGATGGATGTCTTACAAATAAATGTTTGCATAAAACAATTTTGTGCATGCGTTTTTATATCCACATGGTTAGCCTTAACTCGTGTCCGTATTTACGTTTAAAACTGTTCGTTGATTGTGAGTTTGATTATCTTCCTTAAATAACACTTTATCCTAGCACACTTATTATGATTATGAGGGTAACTCTAGTATTGGTTCGACATGTGTGGTCCATCCAAGCAAACAAATTTTCGGTTAGATCGTGGCAGCGTGAAAATTGATTTGTGGGACCCACATAAAGTCAATCTCAATCTTACCTACATTTGCCCTCCCTCTTGTGTGACCCCACAAAAAATATTTTTAATTGGTTACGATCACTTCTCTTTTGAAGTCAATTTTATTAATGATATACTATAGATTCTCATAATATGCGCGGTTGGAACTTTTGGTGCAAGGTTCAATTTCAGTCTTACATTGGAGTTACTTTGATGTGTATACACAGTTAGTATATTATTTTTTGAAAAGAAAATGTTCCATAATAGTCCAATAGCCATTAGGATTTAAGAGAAACCAAAACACGCAAAGAAAAGGATGGCAATAGCAACTTTTCTCTCTCTTTTTTTTACACTGATTTCTCTCTCTCTGTATAAAGGGATCGAAAACATCGTTTTCAATGGGATTTTTTTTACTATCTAATAGTTTGCTAATGTTATTTTCTTTTCTTTCCAGGTAGGCGGTTTATCGCCTAATCTTGTTAGAGGATCCTGGTGCATGAAGCGGGGTTGCCCATAATCGTGGAATTATCCATGATGTGGAATAAATGATACTCGCCCCCTTCTCTGAAATACATGCTATTCAACACAACGGTCGAACTCCACTAACTTCTATTTTATGAGTTATTTGTGATACACAACAAAATTATGCTATCACGACCATACTCATTTCTATAGGAATAACATCGTATATGATATTTCCATGTGTCTAACCTAAATATTGAATTCTTGTTTTTTTTTTAAAAAAAAGTCAAATACAACGATGTATTCATAATCAGAGCATATAGATCTAGACCACTCACATCATGCACCAGAAAGTATAAACACACAGGCGTCTACGAGGCAGGTCGGCATGGCCTTCAGACATGGACCATCAGATGGTTCGGTTCTGTGAATCGATATGCAGCTGATGGGCAACCATCTGATGGGCATTTGGGACAGAATGCGCACATCTAGATCCTGGGCGCACGTCCTCTGTCGGCATGCATGTACAGGCTAGTACAGGCAGCACATAATGCTCCAAAAACCCAGCTAGCTAAATGGACTCACCAACAGCAGACTGCTAATTAATCAGACACCACGTCGATCACATGCTTGCAAGGTAGTACTAGCAGTATACCCATATATATAGTCCATACCAAACAAAAGCTTCAGTAAATTATCGGCATTAATTCATTGTCCAATCAGCCAGAAAAAGGTATGTTTCGTCCTCATGATCCATGTATAAACCCAAATAAAATGCGTATTTAATTTCATACCATCTATTTAAAGAGGCGAGAAATTAAACGATGCCATACGACAAGGGAAAGGACCAGCAAGAATGCCAGATGCATGGTCCATGCAAAATCAAGGTAAAACACCACTAGCAGACAATAGCCTGCTTTCTGATTTATGTCCCCAACCAAAGCGTAAACAACGTTTGCTACAGACTACAGTGTAGCAACTAGTACGTTCACATCAACTGCAAGCATTTTTCCCCCCAAAGGCGAAAAAAAATTCAGACGGCAAATGTTGTTTACGATAGCAACTTCTGAGGCTTCTACCTGAATTTGCAACTCGTCTAGTAGCAATGTGCAGAAGCGCATTCTGAAGCTTCTACCTGAATCTGTGACTCGTCTAGCAGCAATGTGCAGAAGCTCATATAGTCATATTGCTACAGCCTACAGGCCTAAATTGGAATATGAATTAATGATGAGCTGTTTAACAGGGGGTACTTCTCAATATTCAAGAGAGATAACAGCTGAGTTGAAACCAGAACAGAACCATGCAGCAAAATAGTACCTATGCAGGATCTCATCAAAGTTGAAACTGCTATCATATTCAGGTATAACAGCTGCCGTACTTGCATCTGACAGATTTAACCGAAACTTCAGTAGTACTGAAAAATCTGTTGTACAATCATATTACCTGACAAACTTACTTACAAAGAACTTAAGTACGAATATACACAGAACGAAACACCAATCATTCAGGATTCAAGAGATTGAGGTGTCAATACAACTATTTCTCTATACTTTAATATATCCAAGAAGAACTCAAATGATACTACATCACCATGCTAAGAATGTAAAAGGTAGTGGTCAGATAACAAAAATGGCAGGGATTCTTGGAAGAGGATCCTATATATACCATCTCATGTATGCTATATTGTTGTTCTCTGTTTCTGATTAATTCTAGCTAGACATGAACTTTACATCATAAAATCCTATGAGCCTATACAGAATACGTGTTGGTCGTATATCGACTGTCAGACTGTGACTAACTGACTACTTCTCTCTATGAAAGGATACCAAAATCCTTAACCTCACTCATACAAACAACAGCTCATGTACAGGAACAAGTAATTCAACACACTTGCCTTTATTGGTGCAACATTTGATGCTGTTTAACCATAATCTGTGCGTAGAGAAGCTCATTCCAGGAGTCGGGTACTCCAGGGAGGCACCAGTGGCTGCAGTCCTGATATATCTGAGGCGATTTCTTCTCCTCCTCAGTCAACTTCTGCTTGCGGTAGACAGAAGGGTGTGCCTCCTTCCTGTAGTCAGTCATCCTTGTGATATTCAGGTAAACAACAGGTGTTTTCATCCCACTGAGCACGTCCTCCAGGATGCTCATCTTCCGTGGGTATGGTGTGAGGAACTTCTCATTTGTTATTGGCTCGGTTTCCTTGTCGCAACTGCCTCCTGAATTCCATTGGCCCCCACTGCACAATCGAAACACACAATAAACATGATGTCAGCAGCTACTCCGATAACATGATATTGCACATGATCAAACTAAACTTGCCAGAATTCAGAAAAGGTTTTGCCAACCTGAAATGGGATGATGAGTAGCCTCTGAAGAACACAGTTGTTTTCTTGGGATTTACACTGGAATCAACCCACTTGGCCCAGGTAATAAGAGCTTTCTGGAAGGCATCATCAACATTCAGCTCACTGTATACACGGTTACCCTCTTGGTAGTAATCTTTCCTGTGACAGGTTCAACATACTAACAGTGGTAAGCAACACTTGAAATGCAGAACGCATGGCATGCAGATCTTCAGCAAAATCAGAAAGCACCAATTCCAACTTACCCTAGAGAAGTTTTTTCATGAGTCCACCAGTGCCCGGTATTGAAGATGATGATATCCGCATCCTTGTACCTCGGGAAAGAGTTGCTGATCATGTCAAGCCTAAGAGTTTCCTTGGTTAAACCCTTCCTGACGGGGAACTCCCATTCCTGAACAAGGAAAGGGGAGCGGAAGAACTCCACGCTGCAGTTGTAGTCCTAGACAACAGGAAATTTGCAAATGAGCATTCATTCCTTATGCTGAAATTAGCGCAGATGCAAAGCATGAGACATGATTGAAATGCACAATATACCTGAAACAAGAAAGAATAGGAGCCCTCGGCTCTGAATTGTTGCCTGCCTGACACCTCAAAGACCTTTCTCTTGTCCTTGACAGAATTCCTCAAGATGCAAACCAGGGATTCCCACATGTTCCTGTTGAGCGAATCACCGACAAACACCAGCCTCTTCCCCCTCAGCCTCTCCAACATGTCACTCGGGTTCAATCTGTTATGAACATCATGGAACTGAATTTTCAGCTGTGTCACATGAAACACCAAGAACTGAATAAAACAGAGTTGCTCAAGTAGTCTCAACTCACCTTGGAATGCTGCATCCGCTGGGCTGCCACCGGAGCCTCTGGTAAGCATTATCAGGGCGGCCATTGAGCGGGCAGTTGAAGGACTCATCGATGTGAGGACATGATCCCTCGGGATAGAGAGGGTATGAGTCATCTCGGACCCAATTTCCATAGAACATATCGCAGCTCGCCATTGCTTCAATCCAATGGGTTTTCTTCTTCTTACCACCGGCATCGACAGCAGCCTCTGTGGTGTTACTAGCAATCCCCTGTGGTGTAGCATCCATTGTACTATTGCTTCCACCTGAAGCAGCAGCTCTGCTTCCACTCTTGTTCTGATCGAGTGCAGCCGGCGGATTTGGGACAGTCTGGTTCTTGCCTGGGGCTCCTCCTCTCTGAGGCGCAGCGCCATTGCCGTCCGTGGCCACTGCTGCATTCCCAGTCTTATTGATGGATGGAGCAGCAGTTCCATTGCTTGAATCTACGATCGCACTTGCACCACCTAGCTGGTGAGTAGACCCGGCAGCATTTCTTGCATTAGCTTTCACTGCGGTGACATCTCCAGATGAACTCGCGATCACGTCGGTGCCATTGATCCGATCAGGGGCACCATCTTTGGTCATCGTGCCGTTTCTGGCTGAACTGCGGCTTGGAACTGCAGCCTCGCCGGCGGAACCCGTGGTGGAGTTATTGGCTGCGGCACCGCCTCCCGCTTGATCATTGGGCGGCGGGTTGCTCTGCATCGCCGCAGTAGCGTTGCCGGATGGGGAGTTGCCGCTCGGAACACCTCCCGCATTGCTGCTTGATACTTCAACTCCTCTTCCCTGCTCACCGGCAACAACTGTACTGGAGCCATTGGTTCCCGCTTGCCCACCCGTCGCGGAGAACCCACCACCACCGCTCGATCCTCGCCGATTCGTCGCTGCTCCTCCAGGAGGCTCCGGGGAGGTGGAGTTGGCGGGGAACAGCGAGGAGAAGTAGCCCGAGACCTGCGCGCGGTAGGGCGACGCGGAGGCGAGGAGGCCGTCGAACCACGCTGCCGCCGGCGAGGAGGGCGGCGGCGCCGGAAGCGAGGGCGCGAAGGCGAGGAACGCCGCGAACGCGCCGAAGGCGAGCGCGAGGCCGTAGAGGCACAGCCTCGCCCGTCGCGCGCGGCCGACCAGCGCCCCGCCTCCGCCGCCGAGGTAGCCAACGTGATCGGCCACGCCGCTCTGCTTCCACGCGCCGCCCTTCATCTGATACTGCTCGCACTCGCGCGCGGCGGCCGCGGCGAGAGCTCCCGAGGGTTTCGATCGAAGCGGGAGAAGGAGTAGGCGGTGGCGGTGGCGGTGGGGGAGGAGAGGAGGCGCTCCGCGGGTGGAGAGAGTGATCTGCGGCGGAGGATTTTGTAGGGGAGGAGACGGCGGCGGCGCCGGCGCGGCGCGCGGTGGCGGCGAGCGCGAGGTGGTGCGGCGGGTTGGGAGCGAAACTAACTTTCGCGATCTTTTTGGGTTTGGGGGGATTTAAATTCCGTCGCGTTTTCGGGTTTAGTAGGAACGTGGGCGACATGCGCTTGAGAATCGCTCGGGGAATTTGAATTTGGCTGCGCTGTCAACAGCAGGGTGTGAAAAACCGCCGGTAACCGCGCGGTTACCGCGGTTACCGCCCGTACCGCGGGGGTACGGTTACCCGTACCGCGCGGTACGGTTTAATAAAATTCGTCCAAATTCAAAAATTTAAAAAAAAAAGAAAAAAATCAAAAAAAATAGTGAAGGTAGTGCTTGATTTATAGTGTTTTATGGTGAAGAAATTTCTCAAAAAAGAGTAATATTTATTCAAATTTGAGAGCAAAACGGAGAATAAATTTGAAAATTGGAAAAAGAAAAAAAAATGGGCCGGCCCGTTACTGTGCAACCCATTACACATCGCGCGGTAACCGCGCCAAACCGCGTGGTTACCGCGTCAAACCGCGCGGTAACCGCGCCAAACCGCGCGGTTTGCCCGAATTTTTGAATTCAAATTTCGATTTGTAAATTTGTCGCGGTTTTGCGCGGTTACCGCGGTTACCGCCGGTAACCGCCGTACCGCCGGGTGGCGGTAACCGGGCCCCCGGCGGTTTTTGAAACCCTGGTCAACAGTCAATAGACGGCGAATCTAGAGGAGGATTATGGCAATTTTAAATAATCATCACTGCGATAATTCACATTGCTAGTGTACGTATTTTAAAAGAATCTTACAAACAAATATCTCAACCATTAAATCTAATCAATTGCTGGTTATAAAAAAATTTTGTAAGGATTTCTTTTAGTTCGTGTATCATTTTCCTAAATAACCCCCGTGCAATTTAGGCTATGTGAAAAATTCTAGCTTAATTTTACAGGGAATTAAACAGCGGGATATCAAATTTCAGCTAAAAATGTTGGTTAAATAGGCTTTTAATGGAACTGGTTAGTTAAATAGTGTTCACTATATGGCAAATACCATTGATATTTCGAGATATCCATACTTACTTAAAAAAATTAAAAATATTTAACAAGTCAGATTAATATGTGATATATCATATATCATTTCACAAACATATAATATCAAATTCGACATTCATATATTATAAAAAAAAGGCAAATTAACTATGAATGTGCCAATCCATCTCTGGCCCCCTACAGTTTCATGGTTTTAGATGTTCTAGTCCTCCATTTGTTCTATTCATTATATTTTTTGGCTAAATTAACGTAAATATATAATCCCTTATATTCATAGACAGAGGGAGAAACTACTACACGTATATTCACAATATTTTTTTACAACATATAATTTAACTTGCATATTTGTGAAATCATATATTGTAATATTCCTTACCAATTTTTTCATAATATGATTTTTTCATAACTTTTTAGAAGACATGTAAAGAATAAGTAGATATCTCTCCATGGGTTAAAATGGTTCCCACTACAGTGGCGTTGCAGGCTTGCGAGTTGCAATTTCAGTCAAACTAAAACTCAACAGGCTTCTTCAAAGTTTAAATCATGGTTTCCTTACATAAATCATGGTGAAGTACAGCAAGCAGCACTATGTTTGCATGGTTGACTTCCTCAAAAGGGAAGAAAAGAAACAGAACCGAAGATAAGAAGATAAGAGTGGTACGTTTGAATGCAGCATTATCGCGTGATCTGCCTCCACTTGGACAATCCGGGGACTGAAGTGCTATTTGACTGTTCATTGTTTGGCACCGCCACGTCATCTGCCGTAGTAGCACTAGTGCGACCCTGTCCGTACGCACTTGTACATCATCTTCTTTGGCGGCCTAACTAGTAACCACCCAACTCAACCGGGTGCAACTCTGATCTGGGCCGTCCATGCCAAATCTGACGCATGGGACGTGATCTATTGAAATCAATTTTTTTGCCATACCAAAATGTTGGCGGCTTTAATAGTGTCAAACGACTGTTAGGTCTTGTTTGGTTTATTTGTGCCAAAACTAATTCAAATTCTATACCATCAAATTTGGTTATGCCAAAACTTGTTGGCACAAATTGGCTTCAAACCAAATAGGCTCTTTATGATCACCATGACTACAAACTGAAGAAGGTTTGAGCCATTCACAACAGGTGCAGGCGTGCAGCTTCAGAAATAAATCAGTTAGATTGGATCGTGTTGAATGCGCCGGTTAAATGTGAAACTCCAGGTGATCTGATCTGAAGTGATCTACTTGTGTCGTTTAATTAGCGTGCCTAATTCCAATGGGCTATTAGCTATGTAAGTGCAAAGGTTAGCCATGTCGATACATGTATATGTGCACTTGGACCATCCGCACACGCCTGAAACCTATCAACAGATTGCCGATTTCTGATAGGAGAGGGACAAGTCTGCTACACTGCCTAACTTCCAAGATAAGATTCATAAAATAAAACCGACGATTGCATGCAGATCAAGTTGGATTCTTTTCAATTTTTAATAAGTTTGAAATTTTCATTGCTTCGCAAACCTGAAAGGCTGCAAGGTGCCAACTGCCAAGGTGTCCATTTTCAGGTGAGTGTCTACCCAATGACACTGGGGAACAGCCTAAGTTCCTTGACTGATCAGATGCCAACTCCATGATCCAGAGATTAATTAATTGATAATTATACTATTACAACACTGTAAAGAACGCTGCAAAGAAAGAAAGAAAAAGATTCCGGCAAAAAGTACACGGCCTGCGAAATAGTGAAGTCGAGCCTAACACCACGAGACGTGTAAGTGTGCAACTGAAGAAGTTGCATGATACATAGTCGCCCGAAAAAGAAGTGAAATGAACTATGACAAATATCGATATTTGGAGAGGGTTAGGTACTGGTTCACTCGCAGTTGTAGTAGGCTATCTCAAGAGGATTCGATCGTGTCAACAAGACATTTGCACGTCGCGTTGTAGCGTTGGTAACCAGCTACTTCAGAGGCAGTTTTTTTCCTCTCCCTTTTGACCAACTCCTTGTCATGCACTTGTGAACTGCCGTGCAGGTCACATGCCTGCGAAAAAGAGCTCCACTAGAGACTAAAGACTACAGAGGCTGGTCGCCACTCACCAATGCCTGTTTTTATGTGAAAGCAATGAGCATAAACCTTAAGATTTGGCAATGGAATTGCATGAAGAAGTCATTTGAATCATTCTTTCGGTGCATGGGGCCTAATCGTCATCTTCTTCCGTTTCTTTTGAGTGATCAGATTATTGTTCACCGTAGTATCATCATAAGCACCACGAACTAATCGATCATGGCCAATTGACGACGACGAGCAACATTACGCCGGGAGTTCCTTTCCAACCCAAAAAAAGCTTTTACGAATTTCGGCTTTTCGTAATGCCCATTTTTTTCCGAACGGTCAAACAGGTTACTTGACGTTATATTAATAGAAGGAGATTAAGCTCATTGAGCTCTAGCATAAATCCTTGATGAGAATTGAGGCCGGCTTAAGTGGATCCCAGCATAGTAGTACTAGTACTAGAACAGGAGGAGAAACAGTAACATTGGAAAGGGAAGATCCATGGAGTACGGGTTAAGCAAGGGTCCGTGCCTTTTTTATGGCTTTTAATTTCTGCTGCTGCTTACTGCGGGACCAATCAAAGGCGTAACAAGCATGCCGGTGAAAGCCACGCATCCTGCATCCTGCATGCAGCTATGCGAGGACGTCAGTTCGTACACAAAAGCAGCAGCAGCAACGGATTGAAAGTGTTCCGTCGTGTAAAGGAGTAAAGAAGCATGATTCGTACGTATACAGCAGTAGAGTACGTACCTGTACGATTAGATTAGATTACTGAAGCGTCGCAACTCGCAAGTGGTGTACGAGGATCTTGAATTCTTGATGAGATCTTTTAGTTTTAGGTGCGGCTACTCCTAACTCAACGGTGCAGAGTCATGGCTGTTCGGTTCGAGCATGGCTGGCTATCCAGCAGTTTAGGCAGCTTTGGCTGGGCGAAGTGTGTGATGTGTCGACCGATCGATGAACTGAGTTCGCATCATGTCAGCTGTCGATCGAGTGTCCATCTGCCATTGATGAACTGCAGCAAGGAGTTGAGTGAATGCGTGTCTAGATAGATGGTCATCAGGCCAGAAACATGTAAATTCGATGGTCAGGCCAGCAACATGTGAATTCTGAACACTGAATCTGAACTCCCATCCGTTTCAGAAAAATCAGAAGTACGCTTTCAGAAAAATCAGAACTACGCGACGTGAGGAACGCAGGCATTAATTCCTTTAGAGCCCATTGCCTACTTTTGGGCCTCCGGAACTAAGATTGGGCCGTCGGGGAGACTTGCGCCGCATGTGACGCAGCTCGAAGGAATAAGTCCATTTTCCCCATATCATTACATCAAGTTTAATTCGCATCCCTAGACCATAACACCAACCACAACTTACAAAACCGGGTTAAATTTTATCCTCCGATATTACATATAGCTGGTTTTTACTGGATTGGAAAGTGACCTAGTCCACTAGTGTTGACTAGGCGTTTAGCAAAAATAAAAATGAGTCCACATGTCATTCTCACTCGCCTTCCCTCTTCTCTCTTTCCACCCTCTTTTCTCAATATCTCCTCCCCTCATATTAAACTATCCAAACACCGTAGGAATGGCGAAAGATTAGCGTGCCATGTCATCATTTTTTCCAAAAAAACACCCCGTTCTTCTGGTTAATCATGTTTGAGTTCCACCTACCCTAGCGCTGTTCAATTCTGTGTTGGGATCGATCCAGCCATCCACCTGGGCTACGGTGCCGGCTCTTCCACCACCATCAGATCAATAAGAGGACAACAGACAGTCAAGATCTTCCCAACATATCCCCACACAGCCAAAACCCTAGCAACACTCACGGCCCGCACGCATATGGCTCATCCGCCGCGGCGCCGCCACACTGCCGTAGCCCTCACGCACGTGGAGGGCGACACATCGGCGCACACCGCCGGCTCTCCGCCTCGCACAACGGAGCGAGGGCGTGGTGTGCGTGCCCGCCGGCCGCCGCTAGCTCCCCACTTCACGCCCCTCTCTTTGCCTCGCCTTCTCTTCTTCCCACTCTTCTCGTGCTCTCGCCGGCTTTTCTCCTCCGTCGTCGTTGGCCCATCGATGGTAGTTCGTCCCCAATCAAGTGCCATTGTGGCAACGTCTATACAAAGCATCATCTCGACGGTCTGCGAGCTTGAGCTCGAGATGCGGTGTTTCCCCATCTCATGCGAATCATTTGGGCCTTGTGAATCTCAACTCCCGAAGTGTCCAGGGTGAATGAGTGTATCCGTCTCCATCGTCAGCCTGCTGATACTCAGACAATGCTGATCTACCATCCCTCCTTTCAAGGTGAACACCTATGCCCACCTTCTCTTCCAGTCCTGTTTCTTCTACTTTATCCTCACTCTGTCATTCCCTATTTACATGAATATCATTTTGTTCAGTTTCGTAGTTCAGGTCAACATTCATGACTTCGACAAACAGTCTGCCACCTTCATCAGCTCAGCCACTGGGGCCATCACCATCTCCTACATCATGTAGCTACTGATCTGTACCATCTTTATCCATCATTAAAATTTGGCTACAGGAGGATCGATTTCTGAATATTTTCTAAACTTGGCTGCAGGAGGATATGCACAATGTGCTTTGTACAGAGGGATCGTGATCTAGGTGTTTGCAAAGAGCATGCGTGAGGGTAACATATGTTTTCATAACAAAAATATGTTGCAATTGTACATAAATAGTCATATCATTCAAATGAGACATTTCAAATCGCAGGCTATATACCATTAGAGGAGCTCTTACAGACAATGCACAGACAATATAGTATTTCAAGCATCAGGTAGGCTTTCAGTCATTTACGAATTAGCATTTTTCTTTGTGTGTTTGCTCTCAGTACCCACTTGGTTCTTCATGTAGATTCTAGACGATTTAGGTTTGGCACTAATAGAACTAGACTTTCAGTTAAATGGATGATTTATATGCAGGAAGATCCAATTTGCTTGATACCCTATTATCTGTGTACCATTTTCAGTACTTTTGTTGTACGACTGTTATACCTATCCTGACAATGTTATAGATCATTGGATCAAATGGACTAGATCCTTCTTTACACTTTTAATTCTCTTAGCTGGTAGATCATTGAATGGTTAATATGGTCAATTATAGGTTGTATGCTAACATGGTGTATATTTGTCTGCAGGATTTTTTTTCTTCCCTTTACCCATCATCATTCTCTGCGGTGAGGTATTGTTTTTTATTTCTATTTTACTCATCCAGGCCTTCTGCAATAACTATTTTGATGAAACAATTGTAGTTTCCACAATTATATTCAGCTCTTTGTCTTTTAAAACTGAATTACTAGCTGTGAGCTCAGAATAGCAAAGTATTTGTTGTCGAAAATAGAGATGATTTCCTACAGCCCACTAAGGAGTGATAGCAGGATAGATGTGGCTCTTATGTATTATGGTGATTCACCTTGAACTAAAAAAAATATTTGTCTAGACAATTAATGCCTCCTATTTGCATCAATGAATAGTCAGTTTAAATGCATTGGGTATATTCGCCCAGTTCATTGTATTGCCAGTTGTTTCTGAATGTTACTTATTTAGTTTTTCAAAATATGTAGAGTAAATGACACCATAGTGAAAATTTTCCAATTCAACCATATGCTCATCCATTTTCTTCCCTTAAACGTGGAAAACACTTTTACTGGCAGTTGCACTTCAAAGTTTTAGCGAGAAAAGTTATTTCAGTATCTCAACTTGGCCGTTCCTTTTCACCATATAGTTGATAGCTTGATATTATAGAGAGATAACAGAACTCGCCAAAAGCGTTATAATTTTGATTGAATGCAAGATAACTGTAGTATACTTCCCTATGGGATTGTAAAATTCATCATTGCTTAATCTGTCAACCTTCAAATCATTGTCATCGGCAAGCATAGACTAATCTTCTTTTGTTTTACTGTTATAGGACTACTAGGGAGGGAGTTTCTGCGGTAATATATGCAACACCAAGCATATCCGATATACTTCCCGTCAGTGCAGGAGAGTAGTTTAGAGGTTGCATAAGTGCATGTCATTGCTGGAGTGTACCAGTATAAAATGTGCTGAAATTATTTCGTAGCTAATAAAGTAAATTTACAACCTTTTGTTTATACGGGTTACTGGTAATTAGTAAGTCTCTCTGACGTGTTCCGGCTGTTATGCTTAATTCCATGTCCAGTTTGTAGTTCTGTTGGACCTTCAAGCAATTATATATTGGTTGTTCGGTGACATCTTCAACCGGCGCAGCGTAGCGCGCCACTATTTCTAGTTTCTCTGAAACACGATGCATTGAGCACACCGATAGAGAGCAGTGATCGGGAGGTGTGACTGATGCCGGCGTGGTGATCAGGAGGTGTGACTGACAAGGAAGTAGCTCAGGGTAAGGAGGTTCGGTGCGGCGCGTGGCCTGCTTAGCGGCATACAAGGACAAACCTGAGCAAGAACAACCTATTGGAGCAAGGGCACCCTACTCGGAGCGGGGGCTGCCGAATCAGAGAAGCCATGGTTGTCATCCAGGCTGGGCCCTCCCTTCTCGCCTTCTCCCCCGAGCTACCAAGGAGCGACAAAGAGGTGTCGGGCCAGGTCGCCACCGCATATGTGATGCGGAGCGCATCTCGCTCATGGAGGAAGATCAGGAATTTGCGGGCAAGCTGGGCAGCGTGAAACAGTTTGATACGGAAACTAGGATATGGCGATGGCACCACTGCTTGAGCTTGAGTTCCGCCGCTACCGTCGTAGCACCCCTTCCTCATCTCTGCCTTCCTCCGCCATCACTGATAGCCGCGACCCCATCCTTTCCAGCCCGCTCACCATCACCGTCGTCTTCTTGTGGATGGCAAGTGAGCTCGAGCTTGCTGGCTCCTTCTCCTTCACCATCGTGGACTACTCGAACCCCCTCCGCCACCACCGTTGCCGCTTCCCATGGATGGGCTGGCCAACCGCTGCCCCTCTCCCTGCTAATGAGCTCCTGAAAAAGAGAGGGGATATGTGGAGAGATGGGGAAGGGATGGGATAGGTGAGGAGATCCGGAAGTTCACTTACATGTAGGTTCCACATGTTTTCAAATTTTCTTTTTACTGATTAGGATGCCACGTTAGTCAAAACAGTCATTCATATTGTCCTACGACATTACTCGGGCAGCTTTTGTTAGGATGGGAGTGAATATTTTTAATATTGCGATATACTCCCTCCGTTTCAGATTATAAGACTTTCTAGCATTGTCCATATTCATATAGATGTTAATGAATTTAGACACACATATATATCTAGTTTCTTTAACATATATATGAAGGTGGATAATGCTAGAAAGTCTTATAATATGAAACGGAGGAAGTAGTGATACCAACTAAACTCGAAAAGATGAGGGGCGGCAAGTAGACTTATTTCCGCTGGAATATGCTACCGGATGGTGCTAAGCCCATGCAGAGAAACTTGACCGAGTCGCACTAAAAAGGAATAAGTTCACTTCATGACCCTTAAAAGAGACCCGAATCTAATCCATGACCCTAAACCGCAAAACCGGATATCTTCACCCCCAAACTATTGAAACCGGTGCAATTTGACTCCCTTGGTGGTTTTGGATGGCGGTTTCGCTGACGTGGCGCTGACGTGGCAGTGTTGACCTAGTCTGTGTGCTGACGTGGCGCTGAGGTGGCATTTCAATTAAAAACATATATGTGGGACCCATTTGGCATTCACACACACAAGATTGTGGGGCCCACTAACATGTGGGCCCCACCTGTCATCTCTTCCCTTTCTTCTTCCTCTCGAACCTCCCCTCCTCCTCCCTTCTCTCTTTTTGTTCTACCTCTCCACTTCGGGCGTCTGCGGGGAGCGAGCGGCGGTGGGCGGGGTCTGAAGCGACGCGACCGGTGGGAGCTGAAGCGGCGGCGGCGGCGGCGTCGAGAGCTAGCTGGAGCGGCGGCGGCCGGAGCTAGCTGGAGCAGCGGCGGCGGCGGTGGGCTGGAGTTGGCAGCGTGGGGCGTGGGCCGGATTGGTGGCGGTCGGCGAGAGCTGAAGCGGCGGCGAGCTAGAGCTACGCGAGAGAGGACGACAGCGCCGACGCCGACGAGATCGAGCGGGGGGACGGTGGTCTATGGGCCGGCTACAGCTTCGGATCCATCCGCATCGCCGGGATCAGAGCTCCTCGTCGCCTTCCTCCAACACCTCCCTGCATCCATCCTCGCATCGCGCGGGACGTCGACGGCGGCGGCGGGCGCGGGATGTCGACGGCGGCGGGCGCGGGACGTCGACGGCGGAGGCATCGAGCGGGTTGAGCGGCGGCTCCGGCGGCGTGCGGGCGAGCGCGAGTGCGGGAGGAGGCACCGGCGGCGGCAGGTGCAGGACGTCGACGGCGGCGGCGGGCGCGGGACGTCGACGGCGGAGGCATCGAGCGGGTCGAGCGGCAGGGCTCCGGCGGTGTGCGGGCGAGCACGAGTGCGGGAGGAGGCACCGGCAGCGACAACATGAGCTCGGCGGCTCCGCTTCTCCCCTCTCCCTTCCGGCCCTCACGCGCCACCGCCGCCTCTCGTGTAACCCACCACCTCCGTTCCTCCCTCACCTGCTCTCCTCTCCTCTCCTCTCTCCACTTGGCAAGGCTGATGGCGAGGCTACCGCCGCCGCCGCCGCTGCCGCTGCTCTGGCCCACCCGCCGCCGCTCCAGCTCCAGCCGCCCGTGCTCCCTCGCGGCCAGCCAAAGGGGAGAAAAGAGAAAGAGAAAGAAAGAGAGAAGGGAGGAGGAAGAAAGGGAGAGAGAGGATGACATGTGGGGCCCACATGTCAGTGGGCCCCACAATTTTTTATTGTGTGTGAATGACTAATGGGTCCCACGCATATTTTTTTTTCTAATGTCACCTAAGTGCCATGTCAACGCCACGTGGAAAGAAGACCGAGTCAATACTGCCACGTCAGCGCCACGTCAGCGAAGCCGTCATCCAAAACCACCAAGGGAGTCAAATTGCACCGGTTTCAATAGTTTGGGGGGTGAAGATATCCGGTTTTACGGTTTAGGGTCATGAATTAGATTGGTCACTTTTGAGGGTCCTGAAGTGAACTTATTCCCACTAAAAAATCTCGAGATATTTCCGCGATCCGGTAGGGCCCAGTCGCCCAGACGCCAACGCTTTTGTCCCTTCCTACCCCACCTCGCCGTCGCCGCGCGCTCCACCCCTCCTCTCCTCTCCTCTCCTCTCCTCTCTACGCAAGCGCAGCAATACGGATAAGCTCAGGCTTCCCGCCGCCGCCACTGCCACGAACAGTTCGCTCACCGCCTCACCGGATCGCCGCCGCCGACCAACGCGCAGCGCGGGCGCCGCGTCCCCGAACAATGGCGCTCATAGCGCCGAGCCCCCGGGTGCTGCGCGCGCGCGAGGCGCCCGCCGCAGGCGCCCTGCAGCCACCCGCGGCTGCATGCTCGACCGTCGCTGGCGGTGGCGGGGCGGCGGGGAGGCCGCTCGGGATGTGGAGCGGTGGCGGGGGCGGGGGCGGGGGGAAGGGGAGGAGGAGGGAGAGAGGGGATGGGATGTTGAGGGCGGAGGCCTACTTCTGGGACGTGTCGAAGCCGGTGGAGATGGAGGAGATCGACTCCATGGAGAAGCTCGACGACGCGCTCCGGTGGTCCGTCGAGAACAAGCAGCCCATCATCATCGACTGGTATGATCCGCTTTTGCCTTTCCCTGTTTCATTTTTCTGATTTACTACGTGAGCATCCCTGATTTTGCCAGCCCATGAATTCTCTCTGAATTCAGCAATTAGAACTGCGCTTGAGTGTTACAGAGTTCTTAGATTCGCTAGGAATCGACCTGGGATTCTGCGACCAATGTAGCATCGTGTTAGTTTCTGAAAGTTATCATTCTCTTCAGAAAGTTTCTGAAGATACCATGAAGTGAAAAAGTTTTGTTGGAATACCCCGTTTGTCAGGTTCAAATTGCAACGGGAGTGTCACAAGTTTAACTAAAAGACATGTGATTCCTTTCGAATTGAAGCTTTTTGTTAAAAATTTGTATCGGTGGAAGTTCCATGATGAATGTTGATTTCGAAATGGGTGACTGGCTGGAATGGCCCACTTGGCCCACTTAGTCTTAAGAAATGTGCTAAAATAATTCATTTGGACCCACCTGAACGACTTGTGATTGTTCCATGGACTTGTGAGGAGTGTGATCAATAATTGAGATGTTGTTGAGATGAATGTCTATTTTCTTTATCAGAATGCTAGTCTTCAACCATTCCCTAAAGAAATGCTTCCGCAGATGCTGAGGTTCTCTTAAATTGTTCTTGCCAGGATGGCTAGTTGGTGTCGGAAATGCATATATCTGAAGCCCAGACTGGAGAAGATAGCAGGAGAATTTCCAGGGTTGGTTTAAATTTCATCAAATGTTTGTATGTAGGGCTGACACAATTGACAATATGAATTCAATCAAGTTATAGAGGACAGCCTTGCGGGGTATGGACTGTGAGTGTCCCATTGCTTCACTCGAATTAAAATGGTATTTCTCATTTCTTTTGTAGAGTCAGGTTCTACTTTGTCGATGTCAACAAAGTTCCACAGACTGTGGTGAAAAGAGGGAATATAACTGTGAGTCAGCAAATTTTGAGCTTGTCTTTTTTTTTTCTGTATTAACTGTTGATTCAGAGTGACTCCAATACTTATCTTATTCATTCTCAATTTCTGTCTTTCCACGTGTTTGGATGCACTTCTATCTTCAGAAAATGCCCACTATCCAGGTAACTCCACACTTCCTTCACAGTTCATTGTCCATATACCAAAATTTGTAAATATCTCTCATTCTGCTTAATATAACACCAGCAATTGCTGGCTTTGGTTTCAAAAAAAAAAAAACCAAAATTTGATCTTAGAGTTCTCGTTCATGTTCAGTTATGGAAGGATGGAGAATGGGCAGCGGAAGTGATAGGAGGCCATAAAGCATGGCTTGTGATGGATGAGGTTAGGGAAATGATCCAGAAGCACAAGTGACTAACTACCTAAATCAAGCAATTGATATATACTGTAAATAGAGATTTGAGATGATCTCTTCAGATATTAAGTTGTAACGAGATCAATAATTAAAGCAATATTCTCTAATATATTGACGTGCAATTCTTTTGTGCGTTCGCGAAAAAAAAATAAAGCAATATTCCAGCTCCTACTAGTGCAAACTCTCAATCCAATACTTCGTACTGTATAGTATAATACTCCTGTATTAGCATGTACATAAGAACTTCAGATTTACGCCATCTGAATAGTATACTTCCAATTTACAGATTGAGGAAAGCAGACAAATTGTAAAGAATCAAATAATCCACCATTCAGTATTAACTTAATTCAATCCACATATCTACAAGATCCACTCTAATAATCTGCCTCTTTCAGAGCCCAGTTCCCAAATTTTCCATTTCCATTAATCACAAACCAAACCAACCCATGATAATTCAGGTTTCTTCAGAGTAACCAAACTAGCACCTAGCTGGCCAGAGCCCAGAAGCTAGCACTAACCGCTTCAATTAATCCTCGCGGCGGCTAGCCCAGCGGCGCGACAAGGTCGGCGACGGCGAGGACGACGGCGACGGCCAGGGCTCGTCGGTGCCGACGGGGACGTCGGAGAGCGGCGCGAGGAAGCGCCTGACGCTCATGGACCGCATCGACCGGAAGCTCATGGACGACCTCAGCTTGCCGTCCTTGGAGAAGACGCTCGACGAGCTGCGGAGGATGAGGTAGACCAGCGCCTGCACCAGCACGAACACGGCAACCTTCGTCACCGCGTCGCGGATCTCCGGCGAGATCATCAAGCTCGTCGCCTCGCCGTCCATGGCGAACAGAAGGATCAAAGCTTGTGTGTTTACGTGTATGCGCGTTTGAGCCGTGTGGGAGAGATCGATCAAAGCTTGTGTGTTTGGTCATCTCGGTCTCCGCTTTGCTCGCTTTATATAGACTCGAGCCGGACTGCATGTTGTTTCGGATTTTCTTGGTCGTGTACGCAAGCGGTGAAGTGTAGTATTTTTGTTTTTGTTTTTTGTTTTTCTTGGTGGGGGATAGCTTCGTTCATTTGATTGGTTGGATTTGCTTTGCAAGGAAGGAGGTGGCGAGCTGCCTGCGAGCCTGAAACTGTGGAAAATTTGTGTGTCTGCGATTTGGTCGATTTTTTTTTATTGTCGCGTTTAGTTTGTCTGATGCGGCGTCGTTTATGCTTTGGTGTTTGATTATTGGGCTTGATGACATCGGTTGTGTCTGGAGATGCGGCTGCTAAGAGTGCTTGGATGGCTTGGATAAGTTGTCATCTGAAGAAAGGGGAAGCAAAGGTGACATGCACGCTGACATGGCGTCCTGAATCTAGATAATGACCTATCGCGTCTACTTGTTTTAAAGTAATCACTTTCTTGGGATCAAAGCAGTGGTTTACTGGTTTATAATATACAGACGTAATTACCAAATTAGATCGAGCACGTTTCGTTTGCTGCAAGCCTTGGTCGATTAATCAACATTTCTTCGTAAACGGAAATTCTTTACTGAATGTTTATACAGTTATGTCACATTAATCCTTGCTAGATTTTCTTTTTCCTTAATGAAACAGAAAAGACTGTACCAATATTAATCCAGTGGCATAGAGTAAATTCTCCTATTCCCGGTTGCATTCTCTCGTTCCACTATCTTCCCTCCTCTTTTCTGCAAGGGTTTGAGTGCGCTTCTTGCCATCATCTCCATTGACACTCTCCTTCCCAGCCTCGATACCTTTCTCTCCTAACCTACGGTTTCCGCGCCTGACCCTTTTTCCGCGCTTGCAGTTGCAGCTACATCCTGGAACACGTAGATAAGATGAACACGTAGTAGCACTTGTGTTTGACCCTGTCACTGTACCTAATTTTCGCCGCGGAAGATCCCACCCAGAATATTTTGAAACAAACATCAACCGCTGAAATTGACCCAAATCATCCAGAAAACAACAGTTGGAAGAGAAAAGTGATGAACTTTTGGTCGAGGCGTTTCATACTTTCATCTAATCAAAATTTATCTTCTCTTCTAGATGCATACTTGGACTGTCCAGAATGCAACCGAATTCCAAGCCAGATGTCACAATCTTCTAGCCGTTTTACCTTTTTTTTTTCGCCAGAAACTTCTTTGGACTCGGCATTCCATGTGCCAATTCGATTGGGTTCGATTTCTCAGGAGGAAATAGCAGGAGGAACCGAGGAACGTGCATGCATGTAATTCATTTAATTTCATTCCTGCCGAATTATCATCACCGGCATGAAGTCCGGCACCGACTAGTAGCCAGTTGACAGCTTAATTAGAATCAGAGACAGCTAGCTCAGGAGTTCCAGCTAGCTTTGAACCTTGACTCGGTTTGCAATGGCGAGGTTAGCCAGGCAAATGTGCGATGGCCGGAGTGGGTCAAGGCCTCTCTCAATAATGGTCAGCCAGCCTCGGCACAGCTTGACTTGTGGGAAGAGATGCGCTAGATGCTATAAACGCTTGAACCGTGCACACGTGCAGAACGTTTGTGTTCGGTGTTTACATACACGGTGCCGGTGCCCATGTTATCAATCAGCAAGGTTCTACACTTCTACCGTAGAAGAATAACTAAAGAAATCAGTATTATGCATTGCATGAGATAAAGAGAGTTCATGAAACAGAGCAAAATAATATTTACTAGTAGGCGTGCAAAACGGAACCGTGATTACCTAAAATGACTTGTTTTAGAGTCGAGATCCTCGACTTGTAGTCCAAAACAGCACCAGGCTCAGCACAAGCAAGCAAGCGGAAGCCAGAGAAGCAGCATCACTTCCATGCAGGATTCATTGTACTCATGAGTGAACAGGGTGAAAAAAAATATCACAATATCACGTCCAGTTTGCGCGATGTATCGCAAGCAAAAGGAGCCAATGCAACCAAGTCATGCATTACAACCCAACTAGACAGGCCTACGAGCTTAGGTGTGTTTTCGTATGACAAAACTTATTACAACGCGCAAGGTCCTAGTATCCCGGTCTCTTCCAAAAAACTACTAGCTGCTATCTCTAAAAGCAGGGCAACTGTTAGCACATGCGGTTTCACTTCTTGACCTCCTCGTACTCAGCCTCTGGAGCCTGCTCGCCTCCGCCCTGAGATCCTCCTGTCTCTGAACCGCCTGCGCCACCACCACCACCAGACATATGCTGCCCAATCTTTGAAACAGCCTTGTTGGCCGCTTCGATATTGGCCTTGATCTTCTCGATGTCATCTGAGGTCATCACAGAGCGGAGATCGGCGATTGCTGTCTCAATCTCAGTGGCAACCTCTGCAGGAATCTTGTCCCTGTACTCTCCCAGACTTTTCTCAACGCTGTAAATGGTAGTGTCAGCGTTGTTTCTGATGTCAATGAGGGCTTTCCGCTCCTGATCCTTCTGAGAGTGAAGCTCAGCCTCCTGGACCATCTTCTGAATCTCAGCTTCTGAGAGGCCACCGGAGGATCGGATGGTGATTTGCTGCTCCTTCCCGGTAGACTTGTCTTTTGCAGAGACCGTCACAATTCCATTGGCATCGATGTCAAATGTGACCTCGATCTGTGGCATACCTCTTGGCGCTGGTGGAATGCCAACAAGATCAAACTCACCAAGAAGCTTGTTGTCTGTCGCCATCTCACGCTCACCTTGCAAGACACGAATGCCCACTTGTGTCTGGTTGTCAGCAGCAGTGGAGAACACCTGCAGAATGCATGGAGTAAATTAAGGAGGTCAAACATATGAAATGGAAACCCCTTGAAAGAGGTGGCAAGCAATCTATCACTACAGATAGAAGAACAAGGTCCTGGCAGATAAAATCAAACAGCAAGGTCAAGAATAAGTACGTAGCTAAAAAGCAGGAAGTTAGTATATCATGTAATGCATGATATAAGAGTATTCATGGATCAATCACAAAATAATCCATGATAAAGAACAGAGCAACACTATGTAATCTACTACTATACCACAATATGAAAATACAAACAAAATTTAATCACGTGACAATGAACTAGATGCTAGGTCATTAACCATTGGGATGCTTGCTAACCTGACTTTTCTTCGTGGGGATTGTAGTGTTCCGGTTAATCAGTCTGGTGAAGATACCACCAAGAGTCTCGATACCAAGTGAAAGGGGGGTCACATCAAGGAGAAGCAGCTCCTTTACATCTCCACGGAGAATACCACCCTGTATGGCTGCACCCATGGCTACAGCTTCATCTGGGTTGACCCCTTTGCTTGGGGACTTGCCAAAAATCTCTGAAACAATTTCCTGCACTTTTGGAACTCTTGTCATTCCACCAACAAGAAGGACCTCATCAACCTCCTTGGTAGTTATACCAGCATCCTTCAAGCAATTCTTGCATGGCTCTCTGGTCCTCTCGATGAGGCTATTCACCAAAGATTCAAACTTTGATCTTGTAAGTGTAATGTTCAAATGTTTAGCTCCAGAAGCATCAGCTGTGATGAATGGAAGGTTAATCTCGGTCTGGGCAGTCGATGAGAGTTCAATTTTAGCCTTCTCAGCAGCTTCACGTAACCTCTGCAGAGCCAGCCTGTCCTTTGCCAGATCAATAGCTTCACTCCTCTTGAATTCACTCACCAAGAACTCCAAAAGAGTGTTATCAAAGTCTTCTCCTCCCAGAAAAGTGTCACCATTTGTTGCTTTGACCTGACAAGAAGATAATCAGTGAATCAGCAGGAAAAAGGAATATTATGTAACTACATTTTCTTTGTACATAAAGTTACTAGTTAGCATCAGTGTGTAGTTCATAAATACTGACCTCGAACACCCCATTGGAGATTTCAAGAATTGAGACATCAAAGGTACCTCCTCCCAGGTCAAACACAGCTATCAAACCCTCCTTGTTGTTTGTTCCATAAGACAAAGCAGCAGCAGTTGGTTCATTGATGATCCTCTGGACATCAAGTCCAGCAATGCGACCAGCATCCTTGGTTGCCTGACGCTGAGCATCATTAAAATAAGCTGGAACTGTAATCACGGCCTTTGAAACAGTTTTACCAAGGTAAGATTCAGCAGTCTCCTTCATCTTGGTCAAAACAAATGCGCCAATCTGACTTGGTGAGTACTGCTTGCCATCTGTTGTTTCCACCCAAGCATCACCATTTGGAGCCTTCACAATTTTGTATGGTACCATTTTCATCTCTTTCTGTGTTTGTGGATCCTCAAAGCGTCTCCCAATCAGACGTTTTGTGCCAAAGAAAGTGTTTTGTGGGTTGGTCACTGCTTGACGCTTGGCTGGAGTTCCAACAAGTCGCTCTCCCTTCTGATTAAAGGCCACAACTGATGGTGTTGTCCTGGTGCCTTCTGAATTCTCTATCACTTTGGGGTTCTGCAATCATTAACTTGTTAAATCAAATAAACTGACAAGCAAAGCTGGAAGTGAAGCGATGAACGAAGAATCTACAGGATCACCCACCTTTCCCTCCATAACAGAAACACAAGAATTAGTTGTTCCCAAATCAATTCCAATAACCTCGTTTCCAGTTGGTTTTACACTGGGCAAAAAAACCATGAAGATGTTAGAGCATGCTGCATACATATTAGCTAGATTGTGTGTAAACTGAGATTAGACCATTACCTGAAAGCTCTTGCAAAACTACCCCATTGTGAACAAATATTCGCAGAATATGCCGATTGAGCATTGGCGGTCAACTGAAAGGTGTACAAGTTTCATAAATATCGAGAAGGTAAAATGTAAAATGCTAAACATAGCTTAAGATTGAATCTGCAATCCTTCGTATAGTCTATGTGTACAGATCTAGAGTAATCTTGAAACAAGAAGGGGAATTATTAATCTAGGTGACACTGGGAGTGTAAAACAAAATAGTACTCTTCAAACAGCAAGAGAAAATAAAACTACTTATATGCATGAGCAAGACAAAAGAGGCAGACCTATATGTTTCAGTTTCAGGGTTAACTTAACCCAGGTCCCAGAGTGGTTCTGGTTTATCACTGAAAGATATTACAGGCCATCCTTTTTTGGGGCCATCCCTTTTTGGGGAGAAGACCCACCAAACACAATGTGTAAACACAATATGTTGACAGAGATAAGAAACCGCATGTTGAACAAACTAAATTGACAGGATAGAAGATGATATAGAAATACTAACACAGAGCTCCACGTAGGTTCGGATAGAAGATGAAATAGAAATACTAACACAGAGCTCCACGTAGGTTCGGTTCAATTCATACTACGGAAACAAACAGAACGCTATCTGGCCAAGTGGCCATAAGCTTTAGACAAACAAAGCTCCAGTTCTTCCATTAGTGTATTGGCATGATTGCATGAAGCTCCAACTGAATCGTAGTACTTACAAAAGTGTCTTATGTAAGTATGCAAGAAGTGCAGCAATCACACCCGGACACTCAGGACGTTACAATCTTGTGCCTCCTAGCTTAAGGAACATGAAGAGAGGCGATCCCCTTCTTGACGAATGACCAAGAAAATCAACTACCTTACCCCACCCTCCCATCGTCCTCTACTCACCATGCTAAATTATACACGATCTAACATTTCAAAAGGAGAATGGCACACGGATCCAATCCATACCACCGGCAGTAAGGAAAAAAAATCATAATTTGAATTTGCACCTAGATAACATATCCCTCATCTAATCTAAAACAACATAGCGAAAAGGTCAACCAGTATGACATATCAGATAGGTAGCTGCAAGCCAGCAAGAGATAGCAAGACGTCAACAGCTAGTAGAGGAATCCACCGTGAAAAAAAGTAACCACAGCCACATGAGAACCCAACCAAGGACACTAATCAGCCACCCATGGCTCGATCCGGGCAGATCCAAGCAAAAGAAACCGCAGGCGAGGACCAAATCGCGCTATCACAGATCGCCGCATCAAATCAAACGCGCGAGGGAGGCAGATTAGGGAACGGGAGGCGGAGAGGGGGCGTACCGTTCCGAGGGGCGAGGCGAGGTCTCGCCGGCGGGCGGCTCGGAGAAGCAGCGACGCCGCCATGGCCGGACGGGGAGGGGAGGGGAGGGGAGGGAGGCGAGGAGGGGTTTAGGGTTTTGGTTTTGGCGTGTGGAGGCGTGAACTTATTGGGGATTGGGGGAACTTTGGGGAGAGGCGTGGCTTGCGGAGGAGGGTGGGGATTGGTTGTTGGGCTGCTGCCTGCTGGGATGGATGTATGGCTGGGCGGTGGGGCGCCACGTCGTCGCGGCTTGCGGGTGGTGCGGATGCGGGTGGCCGTGTGTGTGTGTGGAACCTTCTCGAATCGCATGGGATAGCGTGGCCTGCGCACGAATGGGCCGGCCTGGTAGGGGGTGGATCGGTTGGGATAAGTCCATCTATTGTTCCTTGTCTGTACGTCGAGTCTTTACTTGTAATCCTTAAACCACAATATCGAAAATCTTTACCCTTCATTTTAACAAAACTTTTCAAATCATGTTTTATGGCAGTATATGGATGGTTTGGCTGTTGTGACATCCTAGTCAACAAAGCAGCAGCACAAGCTCAACGGTTGAGACTAGGAGGAGGCAAACGCTGATGGGGGAATCGGACACCAGCCTGCCGATCTAGCGCGGAGAGCACCTCTATCTCCTCGGAGGGGGGTGCTACTGCGCGCGTTCGTGCCAGCAATTTAGCTGCCCCCCCCCCCCCCCCGCCGCCCGCCCCGTTTATTTTTTCCTGTTCGCATTTTTTTTCCCGATTTTGACGTTCTCTTTTTTTTCGCCGTTTCTTTCCGATTTTTTTTTCAATCACCTCTTTACAAATGTAGAATTGAAAGTTTTTAATTTTAAGTTGAAAGATTTTAAATCTTGACCTGAAAGTTTTCAAATCTGGGTTGAAAGTTTTAATTATCGGTTGAAAATTTTCAAATCTAGGTTGAAAGTTTTTCAAATTTGAGATGAAAAGTTAAAAGTTTTCGAATTAAAGTTGAAAGTCTTAATTTAGAATATAGTCTTAAATTATATTTGGAAAGTCAAATAAAACAACCGAACGCTAATACAGAGGGGAAAAAATCTAAACTAATCACGATACTAATCACGTTTCCTAATACAACCTAATTACCTAAACTAGCGCTAATCATGACGTTAATTATTTTTTAATTCTGATTTTAACCCTATGCGTAACGACGCGTGGTCTCCCCAGGCGAAAAAAAGCAAAAAAAAAAAAAAAGGAAACGATGGACTGTCGTGTGAGGGTTTGGGCCGCGTGCAAGGGATGGGCAAGAAACACGCGCAACATAAGCTTACGCGTGTGTACGCGCGAATTAGGAAAACCGCTCCTCGGATCTCTTCTCTAGGCAGGGATCCTATCGAGCTCGCAATGGCGGCGGCCAGCCTCGCTAGTCTCCATGTCTGCCTTGTACCTCTGCGCCCAGAGCATGGCTAACGATGAGAGCAACAAAACGAGGCATACGATCCAGGAGCGCAGCACGGATTTTTTTGCAATCGTTATTTCTTGCCTCTGTCATATCACGGAAACCTTTCGATTTGGAACGGGGAGAGATGGCTGAGTGGACTAAAGCGGCGGATTGCTAATCCGTTGTACAATTTTTTTGTACCGAGGGTTCGAATCCCTCTCTTTCCGCCCCACCGCCTCCTTAGACATGAATGCGGAGAGGAAGAGGACAAGGGGTGAAGGCTTGGAAGGCCAAGAAGGTGCAGTAGAGGGACGCATCTCCTTGCAAGTGCCATCGAGGCAGGCCTCCCACAGCACAACGTGGCAGGCGAGTAGGTCCTCCTTGAGCCACTTCAAGATATGCTAAGCGGCGTCGAAAACGCCAAGGTACACGGCGCCCTTGGTCGCGCGGTCCCTCCCTGCATTGCCCCCCCCCCCCCCTCCATTTTCACTGAACCCAAACACCAGGAGCGTTCCTATGGTGGAGTTGTTCAGGCCGGAGCGACACCGCTTGCATGATAATAACGATTGAAACTTGAGGTCTAGCCCAGAGAGGGCCTAGAGGGCATGTTCTCCCCATCGTTGGCATGCTCTGTTGACCTCGCGTGCGTGGTTGAGGAAAAAGAGCGTGGTTGAGGAAAAAGAGTAGAGAAAGAAGTAGGAGCTGATACGTGGGCTCAACATATTTTTTTCTTCTCACTTACATGTGAGCTCCGTATGTTATTTCTTAAAAAAATTCTTTTTATCAACTAGAATGCCACATCAGCGGAATCAGTTGTCTGTACTGCCCTGGACCTGTCTTGGACGGTTCTGGCAATACAAGGGGTGAAGATTTATAATATCGATTTTTGGGATGCCAATTAAACTCAACGTGAAGATGAGGGACAGCTGGACTTATTCCGCTTTGGTTTTTTGCTGGCCTTATGCTTTGGCCCAGCTCAGCCCGAGAAGGCACCTAGAACGCTAGACGTCTGGTTGTTCCCCTATAAGCCGCTGGATCAAGATGGACGATCCAGATTGAGGCTTGAAAGCAGGCAATTCTCGATATGCACACTAGGCTCTCTAATGTTTCATTACTATACTTGCACAATGGACTGCTGATTTTGCCTTTTCTTTTTGGCCGGACAATGTGGCCTACTAAAGCAAAAGTCATGTACACAGGTGGATTTGACTTCATAGTTGCATCTCTATCCGACACTGCCGTGTCGATGAAACTAAGAGTTTCTGAACATCAAACATGGCGCACTATAATGTGGACAAGCAGCAGCTACCCTTCACCTCTAGCAAAAGACAAAAACATCAAACATCCATTTACTTTGGTACTAAGCTCCAGCCTCCAAGGCCTCCAGCAGTCCAGCCTCCAAGCCCTCACCTTGGTCTGAGAGTGTTCTTGGGGGCACTAATCCATGGCGTCCCTGCGACGGCGAACCTCCATGGTGCAGCAACATGCTCCGGCGATGCGTATTCGATGCCTACACGGGGGCCAACCAAAATGTTCTCCGGTTCTGGCCCGTCTAGTACCTCCAACCCACCTAAGACATGTAATGTCAGGCGAAAACATGTTGATACGATCTGGCAGTTTTGAACGATGTTGGAGATCACTGAATCATACCAGGTGTGTACAGAGGATGGTTGGACCAGTCAGTGGAAAGCCCCAGAGCTTGACCAACCTGAATAACACATTCAGAGACAGTTATAATTCAGTTGTGTGGGAACAGTGATGATGCAGAATACAAAACTTGGTATTGAAAGGCATAAACCTTTCCTGGTCCAGTGAGTAGAAGTGGCTTATCAGTCTGCTGGCCTCGACGCTGCTGAATAGTTGCCAGCCCTACAGTATTTTGCAAGACAATGAGAAAAGATGCCATCAAGCTCAAACTAGATGTTACACAATAGAATTTACAGGAGGAACAGACATTTGGCAGTAACTAGTAACCTGACTGGGTTTTTCTTACATGACCAAATGCAGATGATTTATATAAGCTCTATGGTCTAAGCATATAGTTGCTTTTGTAAAATTGGAACTCCAGTAGTCCAAACAAAGAAACAGATTTTACTTTCTGAAGTTAGGAGGGACAGACGGAAGAAAAACAATTGCCGAAACATGTGAGGAAAGATTATCGCATATCCTCTTCCTCTTGCTCACACAGCAACGTCCTCGTAAACTTCCCTTGTGTTCTTTAAGTAAAACATATTCTCTAATGCATACTTCATATCACATTAAGTCTGAAGTGAAACATACATTTCAGAAGTGAAAATTATTGCGATTACAGTATATATCTTCCGATCTAAACTAAACAAGCACCAAACGAAACTGCAGCCGAGGTTTATAAACTGTAAGTCACCCAAATAACTTGGTCATGTTCACTTGTTGTTACTTCAGGAAAAAAGCTGATCAGATCATACATGATGCTCCATAATGCTCAAAATACTTGAGAGAAATCAGAAATGCATACTGCTCAAAATACTTGAGAGAAATCGGAAATGCATACCACTAACGGGAGCACATGACCGAATCAGAACAGCAGCTCCAACTCCCTCCTTGTCAGCGACGACATTGAGCATCATGTGCAGTCCATAGCACAGGTAAACATACGCATGCCCTCCTGATCCAAACTACACCGGATGAAGGAAAACTTCAGCCCACATTGAAGTTCAAGAGACTCCCCCCAAATTTGCTAAGCTTATCGAAGAATTTAAGGCAAGAGAAGCATCGGCCTTACCACAGGAGCAGTCCTCGCCGTGATGCCGAACCGGCCGTGGCACGCGGAGTCATTTGGCCTGTAAGCCTCCACCTGGAGGAACACGCAGGAACAAATCCACAGTAATCGCACTTGGCCGCAGTGATTACTGATTAGTAGGAGTGGTAAGGTGAAAGAACAAGCACCTCGGTGATGCGGAGGACGACTTCGTCGCGGCGCAGCAGCTTGCCGAGGAGGCGTGGGGCGAGGTCAAGCGCGTCCACCTCGAAGAAATCGCGCGGCAATGCGGGCCCAAACGGCGACTGCAACGACACCGCCGTACACGCCGGGTGCGGTGGTTTCCCCGCGGCGATGGTCTCTCCGGCGGCGACGCGGCGGGTACGGGGCTGCCGCTTCTTCCTGTGGGGGGATCGCTTGAAGCGTGGGGGCGTGGGCGCCCCGGAGGTGGTGGTGGTGGTCATCGGAGATGGCCGGCTCCCTCCGGCGACCGGCGGCGGCGGTGGCGTGGGGGTGTGTGCGTGGGGATGGACGGTGCAGATGGAAGGAAGGGATTTCATCGATGGATTGGCAATACACTACGAGTACTACTGAACTCACCGGCCCACGCGATTAGTATTTACAAAAAAAAAAAAAAGTCAACGATTAGACTATGGCTGTGTTCGGATTCATATTACGCACGGAAAACGGAACGATTCATTAGCACGTGATTAATTAAATATTATCAAAAATAGATTAATTTGATTTTTTAAACAACTTTCGTATAGAAACTTTTTTAAAAAAACGTATTGTTTAGCAGTTTGAAAAGCGTGCGCGCGGAAAACGCCGAACACACCCATATGTGTTTTTTTAAAAAAACAAATGGTTGACAGTTTGGAAATAAATATTACACTTCACCATTTTATTGTACTCTATCTGTCCTAAAATATAAGAATCTATAATTGGATAGGATATTTCCTAATACTAGGAATTTAGACAGGCCTTATCTGGTCCTATGTTTTTATATTTTGGGACTGATCAGGTATTGTATTTGAGTTCATATTTATTAGAGGCATCCATATCGGTTGCATATGTAAGGTTTACATTTTTAAAGGGTACGTCAAGAGAAAAGCATTCGAGATTAGTCTCTAACAAAAGTTAGAATGGTCACCCTTTTTTTTCCATTGCTGATCTCTACCGATTAGGCATGAATAATGTATCACGGTGACAAGTGACCATGGTAATCTATGTGGGAGAATCTACATCATAAAATATGGTGAAACCTTGGAATCTCAGAGAGATACGTAGGGATGTCACTAGGGTTATTGCACTGTCATGCACACCTCTATAAGCATCTATCTTTCTTCCTCATTCGTTTAGGTTAGAAAAAAAATATGTTAGTAGAAAAACGTATTGACTTATGTTAGCCATTTATGTCTGATACCCATGAGTTGTCACGTGTGATGTGGCTATTTCGCAGTTAGCAAGAAAAACATTGAAGAATATAGATGTTGGATAATGTTTGACTATCAAAGGGGATACCATTGCCTTTACAATAAACTAGCAATACCAGTGCTAAATGAGACATCTATATGTTGTTGACCCAATAAAATTTCTACTAGAGTTAGATTACTTGATGAAATTTGAAACTACTTTACCACTCGTAACAAATAATTAAATATTTCTTTGAACTTTGATGGTCTAACAAATAATCCCTTGCTAATACTACCTCCGTAAAAAAAAAAGTGCAGTTATGGTTTCCCGTGTCCAACGTTTGGCCGTCCGTATTACTTGAAAAAAATATGGTCAATATTTTTATTGTTATTAGATGTTAAAACATGAATAATATTTTATATGTGACTATTTTTTAAAAAAAAACTAAATAAAATAGACGGTCACAACTGTAATTATATTGGGTCGGAGTTAGTATTTGCCACCATCTTCATTGGCTCCGAGATCGCCATCCAATAATTTGGTGGAGACAATTGAACAACTCGTACGGATGCTCCATCGATTTCTGTGTACCCTGTATAGCGAGTGATAGTGCCTCCATCCATCCACAGGTGACCGTCCGTTCCTAGCCTCGGCCCGTAGAGTGTCGACTTGGTGGACAGCACAAACTCGGTGTCAATAATGGTCTTGGGTGATGGCCCTTGACCTCCATCTCCATGGCGAGTGGTCGTCGTCGTAGGAGGACTCAGCAGGTTCAGGTTCTCGTTGGACACAATCACATGCCTCGGCCGCATCCACAACGGCATTGATATTGTGCAGAGCCCGATGTTTAGCTCCACCATTGCTCTTGCCGCGCTAGCTTCTGCGTCATATGTTGGCCCTATGGTTCCTTCGCTTGATGGGGGTGATGGATATAGAGCGACCTAATTGATTCGAGCGATAGTTAGCATAGTTAGTGTCTGTTCATAAGCAATTCATTATTTAGATAAAAAATATCATTCTCATAATTTACTTGTTTAATGTGGTAGGTGTTAACACTCTTCTCTACAAAACATAGCGAAACTAATCTTTTATATTTTAGAACGGAGTTTTTCTTCTTAAAAATATATATGGGAGTTTAATTCTTTTTTATTTACAGAACTTTTGGAGAGATTCATATATATATATATATATATATATATATATATATATATATATATATATATATATATATACACATAAATAAATTAATACATACCTCGATAATTTCGGGTTTGATGAAACATATTGGAAGAGCGAGGTGGAGAGGCGGAACCGCAAAGTAGAGCCCGTGTTTTGCCTCTTCCTGCCTATGGACCGCGATCGCGACGCTGTCTTCGTCCCTGAAGACAATCACCGTGTTGTCTAGTATCACGCACAAGGTGATCGCCTCGATGGCGCCGAACGCCACCATGTCCGCCTGCAGGTCATCGAGTTTCTGGAAAATAAAATCGAGACCTTGGGCCAGAACGCATCGACGATGGAGGCTGTGCATATCCCCACCCTCGGAGATCAGCTGGCTCGTGATGGGTACCAAGAGATCTCGCGCCAGTGTTGCCCTCTCGACGATGTCACCGTGCAGATCGCGTAGGTTTCCCAAAGAGACCATGATTGTTACTATTTGGCTTGGAATTTTCGAGGCTGGAGCTGAATTATACGTATGAATTTTGGGCGAATACGAATATCTCTCGCTAGCCTAGACGCAATAATACGGCGGCTGAAGTACGATTGAGATTTGAGAGAGGCTCTGATGAATATATAAGATTTTGTGGCCGAATACGAATACCTCTCGGCCTGTCGCTGGCCTAGTCGATGGTAGCAGTCGGGCTGGGCCCGCTCAGGAAGAGGAAAACGAGTCAGAATCAGACACGGGGTTGGGGGCTCCATTTAGCCCACGTGAAATTGTTTGGCCCATGCTGGCGAACATAATTGGGCCTCGGGCTCGGGCTGCTCGCACGTGCAGCGCGCGTGCGCTGCGGAGTGCTTCGTCGTGCCATCTCGCATCGCACCCCAGACCAGACCATGGCGGCGGCGGCGCTCTGCTCCGCCTCCCCGGCCATCTCCACGGCGGCAGCTCTCGGCGACGGCGTGGCCACGCTCCGCCTCGCGGTCCTACTGCGCCTTCGCCTCTCCACCGCGGGCTGTGGGCTGTGGCTGCGGTGGGGACCCCATCCTGGCAGGCGCGTCGGCGGCTTCCACGACTACGGAGGAAGAGGGATCAGGTGTTAGAGATGATGATCCCGACGGCTTCCTCCGCTCCGAGAAGGTCAGGCTTAAAAATCGGCTTTAGGTGAAAGGAGCCCGTGAATTTGCACAGTAGAGATGTTTGTACACTCTCCCACACTGATGTATGTACATTTTTTGCTGGACTAGTGCTGTGTGTTTGCCTATTTACTCTGATACGGTGCATAAGTGCATCCGTCTACAATAAGATAATACTATCCTTTTAGATGATTACGTGCCCTATAAGTGTCCAGTTACCCCCCTCGATGGCAGGAAGGGAAGATAAAAACACAACAGAGTTTGAATGTGCTGAGCATTTCAAATATAATGAAATGACAGGTTGCTAGAAGCTTAGAAGTGAAAATATATATCACTGTATGTCTGTATCAGGCATATGGTTTCTGCTAGTAATCTTCTAGCATTGAAAAATCAAATCTGTTTAGTGCTCAATGGTAGCTCTTGGACGAGATGATCTTAGCTGTTCAAGCACAATGAAATCTACAATGTTAATTGCTAAATGAACTAGTAGTAGACACCGTATATTATGAATGACGGCATTGAGAGATTAAAACTATTTACTGCTACTGTTGTCCTTAGACAAAACACTTTATGAACTGCAATATAACCTCAAGTACTATGGTTGAATATGATAAAGTTGGTCTTAAATTGTGCTAGTAATAAATTACACATACATTCGAGTCTCTATTGTTTTTCAAGTTTAGCTCTGGTTACCTGTTTCAGGTAAACGTTGAGCATAAAAGATTCGATTTTGTTTCTGTTCCAGGATCGAAAGTGCGGTATCTGAAGAGTCACATGATGACCGCACAGAGAATGAACATATTATACATGACCATGAACACCGTCATCACCATCATCATCATGAGTTCATGACCATGAACACAAACATGGTAAGTATAAATGTTGAGACATGATCATAATCACTGTCATGATCCTCACCAATTATCATTTTGAGAACTCCTGCTAAACTGAAAAGTAGTCGACGACAACTACTGAAGACAGGCTAACCTTAGTAGCAATATATCCATGCCTGAACTGTGTAGGCATTCTTATCTGTTTATATGAATCATTAGTTCATTACTGCTTGAAGCTTGATGCTACTTTTCTATTACCATGTGAATAGTCCAAAAATAATGATTGTTCATTTTCTGATACACATCATATGGTAACACCCTTTTCCTTATGGTAATATTATACTACCTTAGTAGCAATATAACTGGCTTTCTGTTCCACAATCACATAATGTACTACATTAACACCTAAAATCTCACATCAAGGAGCATGATGGCATGTACGAGGTTTGCGCACACTGCACACTCACACACAATCTTAGATCCATATGGTCCCTTCGTCCAGTACCTATTCTTTTAGGAGTTAGCTCATGGAAACATTTCATAATTACCGGGAGGCTGGGAGTTGAGCCATCTGCATTGTATTATTTCACTCAATTTCAGAAAGCATAATATGATGACTATCTTAAGTCATGGCAATGCTTTCCATATCTTAAGTGAAAATATATTAATATCATTCGGAAGTTTTTGAACTGTTTATACCATTGTCTGCTTTTGTAAAATTTTAAATATGCTAGCCCCCCATGATATGAAGAACAGGTAAACTCATTGTTTTTCTTTTCCTTATAGATCATCATGCACACGAGCATACCCATGATCCTGGTGTTTCTTCTGTAAGCATTGTTTGCAAAGGGGAGATGGATCTTGAAAAGGTTGATTCTAAATTTATCTGTCATGCTCTATTTAGTCATTATTGCTACATGAAATTTTACATCTAAATACTATCACCCATTTAATTGCCCCACACATGATGGGGTTGTGGATATTGAAATAAGTGGATAACAATTTTACATGCTCTCACATAAGCTGGCATGTGGTTGGGAAACCTACTGCTAGAATGTCTTTCAGGTTTATGTTAAACTTAGCCTGTAGTTTTACATAGTTCACTATTGATTCTTCCATCGTAGTCTCTTACTGGGACATTTACACAATGAACCAATTACTCTATATGTGTTCTTATGTAAGAAATGTCTGTGTTCCTTGGGCAGGGATACTCTATATGTGTTCTTATGTAAGAAATGTCTGTGTTCCTTGGGCAGGGAGTGCACATCATTTTCCGGGGAAGAATAATGTGGGAACCAAATGAGCCATGCATCAACAAGATTGTATTCATAGTCAATAATCTCAAATGGGGAAGAACTGGAGAAACGGCTTCAAAGATTGCCTACTCTACTGAAGGAATAAGCGAGAAACGGGACTCCAACAGGTGGTGTATACTTCAATCCAACCAATCAACCACATGAAAGTGCAGCAGCCTAAAGCAACTAATATAAGGAGGAGGTGATCAGTCTAATGTTTTCATGTACACAGCCTGAAAGCAAGAAGAATGCATGAATGGGCTGGCTATCCGCTGAGGTCAAGGAGATGGTCCGTAGAGGCTCCGGAGCCGGGCCAACTTATCTACAATGACAGCTGCAATGAAGTCATGAGTGTAGGCGGCGTATGGCACCCGTCTGCAGTCGGTGAACCCCAAGCTGTACCAGTCCTCAGCCGGCCTCCGTCCCAGCCTTGCTGCCCCATGCCAAGACTTGAACACGGCCACTGCGACCCCCCTTCAGACGGGCGTGGACTAGATCATCCATCGCACCAAAGGTGGTGGACAGCCGAGCCTCCAGATCTGCGCGGTCCGTGTACATTGGGATACCTGAGAGGATCAAGGACCTGTCCGGGAAGCTGCTGCTCCAGACGGTAGCAGGGTTCGCGAGAGCACACAGCGCGATGAGCTTGTGCACGATCCGTCTGGCCTCGACCACCCTGTTCACATGGTATCCTGGTCCTGGAGACATCAACTCGTCGGATAGCCAGTTCTTGGCTTGGCAGTAGGCCACGGGACCCGCCCAGTCCCTCGTGCTGAAGCTGAGCTGCTGCGGCGGCTGCTGCGGCGGCGGCGTCAGGAACCGGGAAACGTGCAGCCATGTCATCATCAGACAGTGAGGAGAAAGCCCCCATCTCATCTCATCATCATCATCATCATCACCCCATCTCATCCCAGGAGCGTGCAGCCATGTCTCGGGAGGCTCCTGCAGCAGAAGCTCGACATCCTCCGGACTCCCGAGCACGACCACCACGACACCCATGGCCCTGTGGATCACGACGGCCTCCACCTGGTGCCTCAGCTCCACCCGGTGCTCCAGCCAGTCGGCGATCTGGGCCGCGTCACACTGCCACCGCTCTGTGCCCAGCCCTCTCAGCAGAATCACCCGGCTCCTGTACTCTTCCTGCTGCGCCGCCGCCGCCTGCGTGATCACGTACGGCGGAAGCAGGAGACGGAGCAAGGACGACGTGCCACCCTCGTCCGGGAGCAGCAGCGAGGAGGAGTCCAGCATCCGGAGGCCCGTCCTGACGAGCAACCGCGGCGCCCTCCTGGCAACCAACTCCGTGGCGTCCGCGTCGTCGTACACGAGCACGCCGGCGTCCCCGCCCCTCCACGCCACCACGGCGCACGCGTACTCGGCCCCGGCGAGGTGGTCTCTCGCCGCGCGGCAAAGACCGTAGGCTCCTCCACCACCACCATCGGACGTGCCAGCGACGCGGACGACGAAGACGCACCTCAGGTGGAGATCCGCGTCCTCGTCGTCCAGCAGGTACCGAGGCGGCACGAGCGACCGGAGGAGCCCAGGCTCGGGCTCAGCAGTGGTCCTCCGCCTCTCCGCCTCATCGTCCAGTGCGTCCAAGATGTATCCGCGCGGGTCGCCGCGTCCGCTCGCCTGAACAAATCCACATTCACATTGTCACGGAGTACTAGCTAGTAGTAGTAGTAGTAGTAATTAGTTCACAAAATGTAACTAGCCTGGCAACATCATCTCGGCTAATTGAGTTGTTTACTGATTCATTTCTTGTGTAATAAAAAGCGCAGAATCATGCCTTGAATCCTATTAAAAAGAAAGATTCAAACAACGCAAAGCATTGTCCTATCGAGTTTTGGTGATTTTGCTCTTAGCGGACAGGATGCATTGGGTAACCGATTTCGTCCAAACCTTCAATAAAAGGCTACAATTCTAGGAGAGAGCTCATCTGCTCATGTATCATTCTCCAAATACACGTGAACCAGAAGCACTGAGCAGAAAACATTATCGCACAGACAGCAGGAAACAAACTCGCATAGACAGAGCGGGATGCAGAGATTCAGAGAAAACAAACTCGCACAGACACAGCAGAAAACAAACACAAACTCACCGCCGGAATGCAGGCGACGTAGAAGCCCGGGCGAGGCGTCAGGTTCATCGCGCTCGCGCTGTCTGCGGCATCCGCGAACACCACCAGCCCGACGCGGTAGCCCGTCGAGCTGTCTCGAACTAAGACCGCGGCTTCCACAGCCAGGACGGAGAAGCTCTCTCGCAGGTCCCGGGGGCTTGTGCTGGGCGCCACGCCGTCCACGAGAACCGATCTCTCCAGGAAGTCTGGGTCATCAAGAACCCCGGGAGCAACATAGTAAAGATCAGAGATAAGGCGATTCATCTGCCTAAATGCTGTGTTGCTCGCCTGCACCAAACAAGGGACAGCATCCGATCCATGTCAAATCAAGCACAAGACTGAATGGAAGAAGAAGAAGAACACGACAGGTGTAGGGGGGGGGGACGGGAAGCCATGAATTCGGGGCAAAATCAAGAATCCAGCGGCAAGAGAAGCAAAATGGCGCCGAATTCAGAGAAGACTCGGCGTTCACGCGAAAGAAACGAGAAAATGCGAATCATCAAGAAATCTGAGACCATGAATTCAAGAAACGGGAAAAGAAAAATCAGGAAGCGGAGGCGAGGGACAGAATCGAACAGCAAAAGAAGCGACGAATTCAAGAAACGGGAAAATAAAAATCAAGAAGCGGAGGCGAGGAGACCGAATCGAGCAGCAACAGAATGGACCATGATTCCCTTCTAGAAACGGGAAATGAAAAATCAAGAAGTGGAGGCAAGGAAACAGAATCGAGCAGCAACAGAAGGGACCATGATTCCCTTCAAGAAACGGGTAAAGAAAAAAAAATCAAGAAGCGGAGGCGAGGCGACAGAATCGAGCAGCAAGATCAACTACAAGACAAGTAGCAAATGGTGGTTGCCGAATTCAGAGAAGACGCCGCCGAACACGCGAAACAAGAAAGGGGAACGAACAGAACAAATCAGAGACCACGAAATCGTCGAAGAACACGAGCAAACAGCAAACAACCCTTCCTTACCTCTCTTGCCAGCCATAGCCTGGCGAGGCTGGGGTGGCGAACCGGGATGATACCAGCGGGAGGAAGAGGAGCGGCCATTTCCGCCGATCGGTGCGGGTCAGAGGAGAGGATGACCGGGGGATGGAGGGAGCTCTGCTCTGCTCGTTTGGTTTCTTGGAGGGAGAAAACGCAGGCAGGTGCAGGGAGAAGACCGCGCTCAACGCTGGTTTGGGAGGAGACGTGATTTTGTTTCAGCTCACCTCCGCGAAGGCGGTGGATGGAATTGGAATTGGGCTTTGGAAGATTTGGCCCATTTTTGTGTGGCCCGTTATTCTAAGGGGACGATCAGTTATTAGGCCGAAAGAACGAGGAATTTTAAGCAGAATAAGTTCACCAGCCGTCTCTCAACTTTACATCGAAGTTGTTTCACATCCCTTAGAGCAAGTATAATTGTGAGTTATCGTAGGACCGAGATATCGACTAGAGGGGAGTGAATAGACGATTTAAAAACTAAATGACACCTAATCAAAACTAACCTAAGTTGCTAGACTCGGTGAGGGTTAAGTCTAACTAAGCAACTAAGTTATGTTTGCAAACCTAGGGTGATAGTGGCTCAATTAATTCTCTAGGAAAGTAAATCACACTCCTATATCAATGTTTTGCAATCCTAGGGTGATATGATATCAAGAATGTCTCTAGGAATGTAAATTGCACAAATATAAATGCGACAATCAAATGAGACAAGGAGACAAGAGATTTTTCACCGAGGTTCGGAAACTCGCCGGTTTCCTACTCCCCGTTGAGGCGAGCCCAACTCCACCGCTCAACCACGAAGCCACCGCACGCCCCCTTCGTCAAGGGGTGGGCAAGGCGGGAGCCGGCCCATGGAGAGGACTACCCAAGCCTCGATCACTCGGGGTAGTTCTTCCTTCACTCTGAAGGTGGTGAACTCCAAACCACTCACAACCGGCGCCGGGCCTCCTCCACAATCTTCTCGGAGAGGTCACCGGGCAACTTCTCCACAAGCCGTCTAGGAGGCGGCAACCTCCAAGAGTAACAAGCAATGACCCGGCATGGAAATGATCAATCAAGTGCCGCACTAGCTCTACAAATGGAAGTAATGCACTTGACTCTTGGCTAGAACAATCTCAATCACTACAATGGATGAACACTAAGCTCAAAGGTGTGTGAGAGAGGTGCAATGGGTGTATGCAATTGAATTGGGTGCCAAGAGAGCCCCCTTACTGCTGGAGGAGAGTATTTATACTCCCACCAACCAAAACTAGCCGTTGGGGGCGAAATCCCCCAACTCTGTGTACTGCCGTTCTGACCGGAGGTATGTGGCCGGTCAGACCGTGCTACTCTGCAACGGCTAGAAAACTAGCCGTTGTAGCCCTGTCAGAGGGCCCCATCGGCCTGGCCGGTCAGAGCGACATGGGGTGGCCGGTCAGACCGGCCTCGGCTCGGTCAGACAGCCCTCAGCTCGGTCTGACCGAATACGGCTCCGTCGGCTCTGTATCGGCCACCCCGAGCACCACCATACCGGCCTCCAGGGGGCCGGTCTGACCGCACAAGTGCCGTCGGTTAGACCGACCTTGTGCGCTGGTCAGACCGCCCGCTTGGGGCCGGTCAGACTGCCACAAGGTGGCCGGTCTGACCGCCCCTGGTCAGGACGAAAACCAGTGAATGCAAGGTGTTGTGTGTGTTGTGTGAAATGTGAGCACAAGTCTAAATGCATAATGACCTAATGTGGCAATTAAAATCTTCTCTTTGCTAGGTCATTACTCCTCTTAATAGTACGACGAAACTAAAAATAAACTAGCAAATTTGATCGCCCTACACCTCGATCAATTCAAAACTAAAGCACTTGTTTTACCGTCTTCTTTCCCTTTGCTTTGCGCCCTCAATTTTAATCCATCGATAATCATCTATGCGCACATCTGACGTGGATCTAACTTAAAATATATAGCTCAAAAACAACGGTTAGTCCACAATTAGTGCTTGTTATTAATTACCAAAATTAACAACGGGGGCCTAGATACTTCAGCTATAAACCTTCTATAAGCTTATGTAGAGGAGAGATATAACAAAAAATTAAGGGTGTTGGCTGTCATGCAAGAGCTAGCTTAACATAAGCTCCAAGGTAAATACAATTAATGTATAAGTGAGAGATAGAGAGAGGAGAAGAAAATTATAGCCAACCTTATAGCTAATCTATTATATGTGTTGGCTTTAAGATTGGCTAATAGTAAGAAGTGAGCTCTATTATTATCCTTGCTCTTATCTCTAATAAAAAATCTTCACCTCTAAACTATAAAAAACCGTGCAATTTGGGTCCGTTAGCAGTATGGATATCCGGTTTCGCTGAGGTGGCATCCTAGTCAGGAAAAAAAAAGACCCACATGTAAGTGAGAAGGAAAAGAAAATGTGAGGTTTGCATAAGAAAGTTACTTAAAAAAAATCACATTACTCCATCTATTATATTATTAAGACAGCTCGAAAAGAAGCCACCACGTTCGCTGTGGAAGCTAGAAATTCCCACATTAATCGAAGAAAAAGAAAATAAGAGTCCAAGTAGAAATACAAACTAAAAAATAACTGAAATTCGGAATTAAAAATAAGCAATACTGAAATAGGAGTCCATATAAGAACCCAATACGAGATTAATTAAAACCTTTGGCAATTCTAGATTTTAACTGTTTATAGTAGAAAAGATAAGTCTATAGATCTGTACTGTGTACGTTACATACTAGGAGTCTTTGTCCTTTTCTATTTCTTTGGCGGTGTACACAGTACACGTATAATCTAATTCAATTACAAACCTATACGGAGAAGAGTTGTGCTGCCAAATAAACAAAGCTTGCACTGCTGCACCTATATATTCTGTAGATTTCAAGCAGCAACGATTGGGCTAGAGCGGCAGAACCCAATGATAGCGGGAGCCGACCATAGTAAAAAGACATGATATTTACATAGACATTACAACAAACAGATCAATACTTGCAACCGGCAATGCATCAAACACCAAAAGTTTCTTTGATGTTTATGAAAGTACAAATGATATCGACATATTGTAATTAGTGTATATTTTTCACAGGAGATGAGTTAGTGCAAGCCGCTATAAACTGACAGTCAGATTAAACGTTTAGATTATAGTGGATTCACAATTTAACGTTCATAATTTAACGGTTGAGATATAACACCTATATATAAATATAGGAATTAGAGTTGTAGTGCTAATACAGGAGTACAAAGCGCGCTGCTCGATGGAATAATCGAGATCCAATTCCAAAACTGTTATCTAAACCTATTTGATTCCTGTGGAAAAAAAAAGCAAAACAGGAACTAGGTAGGCAGAAAGCCGTGTATATACGTGTGCACATGTAAGTATTATTTTTTCAGTATAATCACTTCAAAACTATTTAGAACATACTTTGATATATTTGTTGCCAGTAAAAATGAAGCGACTGCCTCTTTATCTATTCGATCCTTTTTAATCACCAAATATACAACCAGCAATTCAGATGATTTATAAGTAACTAAATTTGAAATAATAATAATAATAATAATAAAGACTATGAAAAGAAAAAAACCATCTACAACACAACATGTGATTAATTAAAATTTTAAAAAAAATTATGAAATTAGAAAAATAAAAACAAAAGTTTAAGAAAGAATACGATTTATGAATAACAAAAGTTCAAAATAAAAAAAAGAAATATTAAAAGAACAACCCGTAACACAACAATGGTAAATAACAATAAAGAGGGAGGGATAACGGGTGAGCCGTAAATAAATAAATAGGGTGTAGCGGTTGATGGGACATTTTAAAACAATAAAAATATAAATGACGATTAGATTCAATTTTAAAAATCTCAATGACGATTAAGAGAAACAACAGCGGGCAAGCCGTCAAGGAGCACAGTCGTGACGTTTGACTGGACTTCTAAAAAGAAAAAAAAACAACGATAATCATAATATCATATTTGACTTTTTAAATTCCAATGACAATTAAGAGGAGACATCGGGTGGATTGTAGAACAGTACAATGACGACATTTGATGTAACTTCTAAAAATATAAATATGTCAATCGACAAGACAATGAACTAAAAAACTATAAGATCTAAATATGAAAGTTTCAAAGAGGATGAATAAAAGTTGTGACAGGTCGGGCGATCAAATAAATGAGTGGTAAAAAAGTAAGGGGTGACGACTTATTGACTTTTAAAAACTAACCCGATGATAATAAGATTCAATCTTTTAAGATCGGCTAGATGGCTATTTAACAAATTTAAATAAAACCATGCTTAAAAATATATAATTCTGGATGGGTGCTAGCCGTGCAACAAATAAAGGGGTGACAAAGGAGTAAGGGTAGCAACATGTGTGACTTTTAAAAATTATAAAATTATAAACCCGGGGATGATAATGTTCGATCTTTGAAAGTCCTAAAACAACGAGATAGATATTTAATAAATTTTAAGTAGAATCATGTGAAAAATTAGATAATTTTGTTGGTGCTAGCCACGCAATTGCGCGGACCACCCAGCTAGTTTGTTTTAAAAAAGCTAATTTTTAATTAATCATACGCTAATGAGTTGCTCCGTTTTTTATGCGCGAGGATGAGTTCCCAACACCAAACAACTCGAACTCTACGTTAGTGACCATCATATTGATTTGTGGAAGTGCTAGAAGAACAGGGGTCATGACTAAATACACTGCTCAAAATACTACACAGGCACAATAGTTTGAGAATCAACCATCCTAACCAGGAAAATTGGAGTATTTAACAACAAGAAGTTTCAGAAAAGATTAGCAAACTGTTAGCAGAATATAACTGATGACCTGTCAAGGGCGTTGATCCCTAGGGTAGCTGGCCCCTGGCTACGGAGTTCGTAGCCACGGTCCGTCTTCTCCGGCGAGGTTTGCCCCTCCGCCGCAGGCTTGAGAGTTACGAGAGAAGGGAAGAATTGGGACAATAACCAAATTGCTTAATTTCTGGAATGTGCCGATTACAGAGATATATGGCCTAAGGCCCAACTAACCAAAGAGCTAATTGCTCCTAAATGCAAGGGCTAATAACAGGAAACTAATTATCCTTTCCATCCTAGCCACTGACCGTGGCCTGATCTGCCGCAGCCGCGCGTTCTGCCTCTGCGCGCGCCGCGCGTTCCGCAGCTCGGCGAACGTCTCGCGCTC